GCTGCCCCGAGCTGTTAGGCTCGAGAGAGAGAAGCCCTCTGTCCTGGCTCTGAAGGGTTCTTCCGAAAATAATGTCCTTTTGGATCACACCGGGTGTTCTGGGAAAGTAAATAAGTCCTTAATGGTGAGGGGAAGTAACTCGCGAAAGTTGTTTGGTTGTCTTGAGGGTTAATTGCCTTCACAGTTACGAAAAAGTTGCATTGGTTTAGTCAGAGTTTATGAATTATGAGCGTCCAGACCCTGGATTTTCTTTTTTTGTGCTTTTTCAGGTAAGAATTGGTGAAAAACGAAGATGAAAGGTACAGGAAGTGTGTCTGACAGCTAGAGCTTACTGTAAATGCCATTCCCAGTGGCAGCCAGTGATAGCTGTTATGAGACCTAAGGGAGTTTGTGTGAAACTTTGCAAAATACTTTTCAATGACACAATTATGTGACCATATAATCTGTAAGCACAATTATTAAGCGTAGTATATAATTGCGTTTTAAAAGCATGTCCCTCCTTGCCACCCTTGTTGCAGTGCATATGGGTGGGAATTGCCATGTTGTTGGTTTTCTTGGTGTTTTAGTATTATGGTAGCATGGAAGAGGTTAAATTTGTTTACTTTTATACACTGATTTTAAATTTTGCGCCCCATTTTCCTGAAAAAGTAGGAGGAGAAGGGAAAGAATAAAAAGGAACACAGTAGACATTGCTTTAGGTCATAAAGTAGATACACCATACACAGCTAGGTATAGTACATACGATACAATACATACGCACATAGATGGTTTTGAGTATCTTGAATACAGAGATGTGTATTATTATCTCTGGCCATAGATCCAGTAAAAATCTCACATTCAAACTTGACTTATTTTCTTGAATTTCTATATGCTTTCTATTGCCTGGTACACTTGAAGTCTACATGGCTGATTGTAATTCTTCAGAGTTGCTTTGTGAAAACTTACAGTTTAAAAGGAAAAAAAGGTTTTATGGAAAACTTAAAAGTAAAAATACAGAAAATATTATTTTTGTGGGACATTGTCAGACAGTAGTTGAGTATATAGCAACAGTATGTTTAATGGAATTTCAATCTGAGTAATACAGGGTTTTGGGATTAAAGATACAAGATTTAAAGATGCAAGTGTGAAAGAAAGAGCTGATAGTTCTATCAAACTTTTTTTTTTAATAGTATTTTCAGAATATTCTGTTTTCCAAAAAACTTGAAAAATATGATGTCTGCACCTCATAATTTTTGGTTTATCCTTGAGTTTTCAGATGCTTACAGCATGTTCTGACTTTCCCTTTTTCTCTATGCATATGACTGTGGAGCTATGTCTCCAAGTTCACTTTTGAATCTGCTGCTTTTACTAGTGGTTGCAAGGATCTAGAAATGTACCAAATGCATTCAAACATACTGCTAAACTGAAAACAGATGATTTTGTTTTGAATTGGAGTAGGTTTATAGTGGCAGTCTGTGCCCTGGTGTGTTTGTGCAGTCATACAAAGCCAGTTTGACGTTGATGTTTTGTTGTGAGTTTAGTGCTGTCATGTCTGAGATAGTTCACTGCGTAACAGGGGACTGTGTTAGCACTCTTTTCAGATAGAAACATAATGTTTCTTTGTTGTGATTAGTCATGATTTTGTCTCTTGATACAGTAGTTGATAAAATTGATTAATATTCAGTAAAATATTTGCTTACATACTGGTGTGTTTTCTGAACTTTGCAGCATATGTATCACATTTAAACTGTCAGTCTTTTGCTTAGAATATGTAAACATTTTTTATTTTTTATTTCAGTATAATACAGTCTTTCTGCATATCTCATAAGGTTTGTGTGTATTTTAAGAAGGTCAACTCCGGCAGAAGGATATAAGAAACAAAATGTCTAGCTATTTTCTGGGAGTTCTAGGAGGCATTTGGTCACTTTTCCTGGTTATTCAGCTGTATTAAAGGTATGCTGAATCATTAGTGCTCTAGTGTAGTTCAACTGTAACTGGTTTGGTTTTGTTTTTGTAATTTATTATATTGCTCTCTGAGCAATATGATAGGAGTGCAGAATGGTAGAATATTCTTTGTGTCACTTGTGCTAGAGACAGAAAACACTGCAAATACTCCTTTCTTTATACTGTCTCTGAGAATAGGTTTGGTACCAGTCCAGTACAGTGATTTGGAAACAGTTCTAGAGTTTATAAATGTTATTTTAAATAGCAGTAAGAAATACAGGTGTTAAAGTCAGTGAACTTTTGGAAAGACTTCTCACAGTGCCTCCTTCTTCTACATGAAGTAATTTTCCTCTTGGTGGTTATGCAGCACTGGATAGATGATAAGACCAACTTCTAAATTCTTTACTATGACAAGTTGTTTCACTCATTTGGAACAGTTTTTTCTTTATTCTTATGTAACCTAATAGGCTAAATAAAGTTTATCAGTGCCTGGAAACTTACCCTCTTTCAGATTTCTTTTATCCTTTATCAGTGTGCAGAACTAATGAGATTAAAGATTTAGGACAAATCAGATGGGAGAATTTATATTTGGAATTAGCTGTCCTGTATTATCACTAGGGGTTGTAAATAGGTTGTCCTAGTTCTGCCTCCTTTAACAATATTATAATTTCATATTATGAATCAAAAATGGCATTAATATAAAAGTTTAAAGGAGTATGTTTTAAGGAATACATCAAGCAGATTTATTCCTGGAATTAAGTTAGCATGCAATTACTTGAATTCATCTGTTGGAATTTTGACATTTTTTTTCTCTACATCTTACATTTAGTACGCATTTACCTCAGTCTGCCTGTGAAGTATCTTACTCCCTTGTTTTTTGAGGTGGTTTTTGTTTGGTTGGCTGTTTGATTTTTTTTGTTTGTTTGTTTGGTTTTTTTTTTTTTAATTTCTTTGATCCTCTCCCTGGAAGTGTTTTCTAATATACTTTCGTTATTGGCCTGTTGTTTACTTCATACAATCTGCAGGCTTTAGAGGGTTACTGAATTAGCCTCACTAAAACTGTTGTACAATCTGAGTTCAGATACTGGATGGGATTGCTGAGAAACCTGCATAAGCAATCCTTTTGCTTAAGTCATTTAGGTAGTATTGGAGGGATTGAGGGTCATAATTTTCTGCTCAGTTTCATCTTTCATTTAAGTGTAGAATATAACATGGATTTTTTTATCTGTAGGCTTGGTTTTGCAAAGCTTATCCAGTGGAGTTGGAGGAAATGCTTAGTGAGGATTGGGATGAAGTAGGCTTGTATGCAGTCATTTTGTTTTTTTCTTTCTGCTTTCTGTGGTTACTTAGTTTGCAGCTTTGCAGTATTTTTAGTCTTGGAAAGGCTATCCTAACAAGGAGTATTCAAAGTCTGAGTGTGAGCCTTCTCTACAGTTCGATTGTCATGAATTTCATTCACTTTAATTTTTATTGTGAGGTTGTCCAGGAAAACAATATACACTAAATTGCACAAATGAGATGCTTTCAATTAAATAGGCAAGATGCACAACTAATGGAAGCAAGGTAATCAGCTGCTTCTCAGTAAGTGTTTTCTTACAGAAGGGTGGCTTGTCTGATTACAAGTCAAAGCTGCTTCATATCCACAGTTATTGCAGAGTGGGAGCTGTTCTTATTGCCTCTGCTATTTTGTTGGTACAGGCAGTAATGATACTCTGTAGACTCCAACTCCAGAAGCGCTATGCATGTGCTTTATGCTTGGTTGTGGTGGTTTTTATTTTTCCTTTTCTCTGTAATTTTTTAATGGATTTTTTGTCGTTTTGAATAAGCTTGATGATTTTTAAGACTTCTTGTGATATTAAGTTAAGCACAGAATTGATTGTATGATTTGTTCTATATTTTAGAGTATACATGTATTTTGTACTTTTCTATCTTTTTTGCCTTAACAATTCCTTTATCCTGTTTATTTTTTATAATGCCTCATTTTGATTTTATCATTCACTAGCAATAAGCTTGTGCTACTGTGAAGTGAAGGGCCATTGGTAGACTTGCAGTCAAAGAAAAACAACCCCAGAACACTTACAAAACAAGATTAGAGAAATACCTTCAGTCATAATCTGAAACATTTGAATTTTCTCTCTGTAAAAGTAATGAAGTGAATTACATCAAGTAATGTCCATGGATGGGTTTCCTGATTCAGGTGTTCAACTGACCCAGCAAACGTCTTATGGCTTGTAGTTCTGAGGGAGAAACTTGAACATTATTTAACTACTGTCTTAAGCAACTGTAATGGATCTTTACATTTTTGAGGTTTCATGTTCTAAGTCTTTTCTATAACCTTAGAAATGATGGCGGATGATTTAGACAAATTTATTGAAGATCAGAAGGCCAAGTTGGCACAAGATAAGGCAGAACTTGAAAATGATCCACCTTACATGGAAATGAGGGTAAGAGTATTAACTAGTTTTCACAAATTTAAACACGTCTATTGCTAGGGTCTTGATTTAAACTTACTTTTGCTGTGCTTTCAAACTGTACTTTTAGTTCAAGTATAATTTATCTATTCAAAATAATTTCTAACTTAAATACATTGTATTTATGTAGATGTTTCAAAACCTGTTTGCCACTGGGCATATACAGTAACATTTGTATTTTACAAGTGGGAAAACTCTTGTAAATGGTTATCATTGTTCCTTCCTCCCTCCCTCCGTAGGGAAGCTGACTAAGCAGGGATCTGCTCTCAGCCCACTCCAGAGCATGGGTGTTGGGTTAGGGATGGATGGTATAAATATCCACAAAATTACTGTTGCAGAAACTAGGAAATACGAAAGGCAAATTACTTAATCCAATCAATTAAACAAAATCTGTTCTTATCACAAGTTTCCTATTAGAAATGTTAGTACCTAATTCTAAAGCTATAAAGATTTGATAATTTGCAGAACACCATTTGCAGAACACTTAATGGTGTTCTGCAAATAATAGTGCCAGTACCTGGCAAAAAGCTGTATTTAATTAATTCAAGCTAAAAAAGTGTTATGGTAACTAAATAAAGTCCTTGGTGAAAAAAGGAGTTTTGATTTTCTGTTGTTTGACTTGCAAAGCCCCAGACAGCTTGAGCTTTTGTCAGCAATTACAATATTCAGTTTTCATTCCCTTTTTTGTTTTATCAGAACGTTATGAGAATTCATCTTTCCTGTTCTGTAGGGAAAAGGGAGTATAAAAGTATTTTTACCTAGTTGTCATAATTCTTTCCAGAAAGTTTTATTAATTCACTGCAGGAAGTTAATTCTTAGAGCTGTAAAGAGTTGGGCTTTCTTTATTTTTGGTTCCTCTGCTCAGAGCAAGTTTGAAGAGGAGACTGTTTCCAGCCTTTGGTTTGATAAAGTTCTGAGCTGTATGGTGAAAGTATAGTTAACAGGGAACCGGTGTGTTAAACTTGATCATAATACCCTGTAATTCTTTTCTAGTTTCAAGCAGGGTGCAGTATGACACAACAGCTCCCATAAAAAAACCCAGAGAAGATATGTGCAAACTATGACACAATTGTGGATTATGACATACAGTTTATGACTTAGATCACAGTATATATTGTCAACATATTTCATGACGAAGTATTTTGAACATACTGAACTAGTAATTTCTGTGTTGTAGAGGAGAGCTACTTTTTTGGTAGCATTATTGAAACGTATAACTTGCTTAATGTGTTAATCCAGCATCTTTTTCAGTCTTTCTGTTCCTCTGTTCTACAGTGCTAATAATTATGTTAATAATGCTGTTCTTGTATGTGATATTTCTTTTACCTTGTGATACAGCAAAGTGTTTTATTTTGTTTTCAGATTAAGGAATCAGAGAAGCTTTCCGAGACTAGCAAAATGTTGATATCCATGGCTAAAGAAAATATACCTCCAAATAGTCAACAGAACTATTCTTTAGGTATAATTATACATTTTTTTATGTTTTCTAGATTTAACTAATATTCAACTACCTTCGTCAATTTTTGGACGGGAATTACTGGTTTGGATTTTTAATTATAAGATGACCATTATAATTCAAGTGCATACCAATTCTTCAGTCTTCCAAATGTCTTTGGGTTGTGTGGAATTTTTTTTCTGTAGTTATGCTATAGCTATCCCAGCCATATCCCCTCCCAACTCCTTGTGCACCCCCAGCCTACTCACTGGTGAGATGGCGTGAGGAGCAGAAAAGGCCTTGGCTCTCTGTAAGCACTGCTCAGGGATACTAAAATATCCCTGTTTTATCCACACTGTTTTCAGCACAAATCTCTAAAACATAGCCCCATACTAGCTACTATGAAGAAATTTAACTCTATCCCAGCCAAAACTAGCCTGATCTATAATAATAATCTAGGCATCAAACACTTTTGGCTGTTAGTGGATGATTGATATTATTGGCTGGTTCTAGTTTAAAGCAATGTAATTTCATTTGGTTTAAATTAGACAGGGACTTGTTCCTTGGATAGTGGTGAAAGTGGTTTTAGAGATGGGCATCTGAGGCAGAGGATATTACTTACAAAGTACTTTAAAATGTATTTTGGGAACAGCAAACAACTTGTGTAGCATTATAGTTTAGGAATGCAGCTGTTATGAGACCTGATAGTAATCTTGGAAAAGTACTGAATATGTATTTTGGATCTACTACAATTAAAAACACTGAGGTGGAAAGAAAAAATTATCAGCATATGGCCAGATTCCTTTTAGTTGTATGAAAGCCACGTATTTTTCACATGCTTCATGCTAAATGAATAGGTTGTTTCATTCTGGTTGCAAAGTGTGTTTTCTATTGTGTGATAAGCACAGCTTAAAGCATCAGACTAATTTAGAACTAGTGTGTCAAAGGAGATTTCCTTTGAAACATACATTGACAAAAGAATATGTACAACATTTAGGTCATTTTATACTATTAGTCATTTTTTGGGAGAAAAAGCACAAGGACTGGAGGAACATAAACATCCAAAACCCAATCTATTTTTCCATGCTTTCCACCCAACTACTCATAGAGAGAGGATGTTTTGTATTTTGGCTGTTTTGTGATTACTGGTTGCACAGTTCATTTTTTTTTATTGCTGATGTCTAATAAAAATCCAGATGCAGGATGTGTTTTGTATTGATACAAAAAGATATACTAATAATATTTAATGGTGTTAAACTTTCAGGTGACTATGGCTTGAGTTTACCTCTTGGAGAAGAATATGAACGAAAAAAACATAAACTTAAGGAGGAACTCCGACAAGATTATAGGCGATACCTTTCTCAGGTAAAGCTTCCTGTCTGGTTGCCTGAGTTAAACCAGTCTTTTAAAATGACTCTCATTTTAATTAAATGAAAATGAATAAAAACTGTGGAAAATCTTTATAGGAAGGCATTCATTATGAGCCATGGCTGGTTTCACAGGCTTGAGTAAAAGTAGTTTCAAAATGTCACTGCTTGGAAGGGTTGTATATTCCAGGCTTCTCTAGATCTTGTGGCCACAAGCCTACATATTACCTTTTATTCTGAATAGTTTTATTTATTTGTATCTACTTCTTTCTTAGTATCTTCTTGAAAATTTAAAATATCGTGTTACGTCCTTAAGTACTTATGTATTGTGTGGTCTGTAATTCAGTCAGAATATTCCTGTAATCAGTGTGACTGCATTTGACAGCTTCTTTTCAGTGGTAGAAATAAAAATAACTTTGTTCTGCTTAGCATGATTTATTAAATGTCACAGTAGATTTAAAATTGAAATGGTATGTATGAAATGTATAGTCTTGGGAATATTCTGTATCCCTTCTTAGCCAAACAGAAACAAATTAGGAACCAGATAATTTCTGTAGTCCGAAAATGCTAATTATCTTTAGTTTTTAAAATGAAAAAATGGATTGGTTTTACGAGAAGTCTTTTTTGTTAAGTATTTTTAAATGAAAGACTCTTTTTGAAAGTATCTTTTCCCTGACTTTTAGGGTCTTTCACAGGCAAAAAGAAAGGTAGGGTGCCTGCAATATCTTTTTTTTTTTTCTTTTTTTCTCTTCAAATTAGTTGCTTTTTTCTTTGAAAGCTTTGTGCAATTTGAATTAATAAAAAATCATTACTTTTTTGTGCTTCATGTGTTTGTGCATGCCATAGTGATTAGTTGTGATTAACAGCATTGTTGGCTTTGTGCAAAATGATTACTTAAGTTCATTATTTCCATTGGTAAGATTTTAAAACACTTGCTGATATCTTTTATTTGTTTGTTTGTTTGTTTTTTTTCCTTTGCAGTTGCTATTGTTGCTGTCTAATGCTGACTCTATAAAACTTTTTCTTTTAGTAGACATTTGCTTCAAGGCTTTTAAGTTCCATAGATGTTACAAGTTCAGATCTATTTCATTATTTGTTTTTTTTTTTAATACACATACTTTACAAAGCTGGGATAAAATCATAAACCCTGATACGTTATGTCATTGGAATCGGAGTTGGGGTGCTTTTTTTCCTTATCACTGTGAAATGTCATCAGTGGTGGTAAGGAAGGCAGTAGAGGCAGTTATTCATCACCTAGTGGCCAGAATGTGAGAATACAAGTATTGTGAAGAAAAAAATAATACCAGAAGCACATTTGTGCAAGCTTTGTTCAATTACAGTTATTTTTAATTATTTATATCATTATGCTGTCATGTATATATGATTTTCAGATTTAACACCCTTCATCCAGGTTGTTCAGATTAAGCAACTTGAGTAAAGGACCTGGAACTAATGTGGTAGAAACACAACTGTCTGTTTTTTCTGGGGCTTTGAATAACATGCATGGAATACAAATTAGCTATATTAGCATGCACTAGAATAATAGCAACAGCAGAATTAATGGGCTTTTTAACCTCTAATCAAAATGATGCTAATATAATTGTTGCTGCTTGTTTAAACTTCAGATTATTTTCAAAGTTAGAATATTGTGTTAAAACTTAATTTTTCATAATTCTCACTGAAGTACCCGAATAATACAATTTTTATATTAACTTCTAGTGGTTTATTATCAATTGAACTTCAGTTTTACAAATTCAGGTTTACAGTTTATTTTTTAATGTCGTACATTTTAGCTATATTAAGCTTGTGAGGCCTACAGAAGAGATAGTATAACGATCTCTAGTCTCTTTTCCTCACATAAAGAGGTAGAGCAACTCTTAGCAGCTCTTATCGTGATAATATTTTGCTTAATAACTTTTTTAGTCTTGCTTATGTAGAAAATGCAGTTTCCATATAATTTCTGATTTTTGGCAAATACCTTCTTAAGATCAAAAGTAATCTCTATAGATCTGTGAAAAGCATTACTTAATAATGAGGATTACAATTTATTTACTTTTTCTAGTAAAAATAACTTAGTTCTCTATATTAATCTAGTTGGCTCAGTGCTTGGATATTTTCACGGTTATTAAATCTGTTATATCTTTCAATATGTAGTTGTGAAATGTAATTCATAATGATGTGGGTTTGTACTGGAGCAGGTAGAGCACTTACATGTTGACATGTCTTTAAGCTTTTAAGCTATATAGAGAATGGAAGAAAACAATGCTAGTGAAATACCATATCTAACCCATTCCTCTCACCAGCCCATGCCACACAAATAAATTATCTTTTTATTAAAGATAATTGGTTTTCTAAAACGTAAGTTGTTGACTGAAAATGGTCTCGGGGTGCTTATAGTAAATAAGTGATGTATGAAGAAGCCACTAGACCTGGAAACTAAGGACCCGTTCCACCACTGGTGGTTGATTTGAAAGGCTGATACTTTGATGTGCTGCACAGCCCAGTTCCCAAGCCGTACCTCAGGGAGCTGTATGGAGCAACCACGTAGTGTTTTCAGCAGAAAATTCTGTTCTGAAAGTGACTGGTGGTCTGTAAGGAATTACAAGATTTGGTGACAGGTCATTATCCTGAAGAGTTTGGGAACTGCTGTTGCAGAAAACGGATAGTGTTGAGATGCAAAGTGGTGGCTGTGCTAGTATTAACATGGATTCTGTCTGTTAAAATAAGAGGTAGACATATGTTATCTGCAGTTAGAAAAAGCCATTTTTCATCTTAAATAGTGTCTTGAAAAATTTCTCTTATGCTTGTACATATGCTTGTGCTGATTCTAATTCATTACAAGAGAACTGAGTACTGGTGCGGTTTCTTTGAATAAAAATACGTATTTTTAATATAGGAAGACTGGCTTATGTAATCCTTGAAGTAGTGTAACAGGGAAGAAGTGACAAACTCTTTCAAACTCAAGCTGAAAGCGTGACAAAGCCCTTTATTTCCTGCATTCCTTGACTTCACTTCATTAATGTATTCCATGATCATCCCACATTTTCAAAATGTGAAGGTTGTCTTCTGTTTTTATTTCATTGAATTGATCAGTTTTTTGGTTTTTTTTTTAATGTAGAAAAATTATCAGACTACTGGTGAAGTAGATCCATATACTCAGGGATTATCTCTTCCTATCGATGAGCGAAAATCTGCAAAGGTAAGTATCTGGAGGAAATTAAGTGGTGTATGACTTGAAAATGAACCCGAATATTTAAACTGTTGTGGAAAAATTATTTCCACTTTCTGTTTGTTTTCCCCCAATGTTTGCAAATAAATGTTTTTGGGAGGTGGTCGTTAGAATAATCCTAGGTTACCTGTGCTCTAAATTTCTAGATAATTAGATGTGTAAGTCTGTACTGATACTAGTTGGAGGTTTGCTACTTCCGATTCATGGCTGCAGGGCACCTGGTGTTTTCAAAAGCTCTCATTGTGCTTGGGTTTTGTTCAGCAATAAATATAGATCTAATAAAGAACACTGTTTTTCTTATAAATCCTTTTCTAATTTATTACTCTTCCTATTGCAGCCTGAGGATAATTTTTAAAATACTTGCTCGTAGCTGTTTCTACAGTGATACTCTTACCAGTTCCTATCAGAACTAAGGGAAGTGTGCTTTCTGCTCTACACAATTTGTTTTGATGTTTTTGTGTATGTTTAACCTACCTGCTTATCCTTATGTGATTATTTTATTTCAAACAGAGATCTAGGAATCTAAATAAAAGCTGATCTTGTATCTCACATACTGCCTGACGTTAATATAGGAAACTTACCGATTTCCAGTCTTTCTTTCAAAATACAGATACTATTGTGCTTTGTGAAAGGAGTACACATTCTCTCTCTGCCTTTAGCCCCTCTGGTTTCCCTGAGATTTCTTATCAGTTTATGGTCTTGCTTTCATATGTTGGAGAAAAATACCAGCCATAACTGTCTCTCTGCTATTGGAGGTTCATGGAGGTTAGAATATGAAGATGCAACATGCATGCATGGATTTTCTTAAGCTCTGATTCATTCCTCTGATGCATAGTATGATTCTGTGAACACCTAAATCAATCTTACAGGGGTCATCTGTCCTTCTGCCCTCATATGTTAGCCTTGTATTCCCAGTTCCTTTCTTGTGTTTGCTTGTAAATTGATCCAGGAAGTTGAATCAGCAGTAACACTGTAATTTAGCAAATATTTTTGCTGTCTCCACAGACCACACTGGTTGGTTGTTAGGTTTGGTCAAACCCCAGCAGAGATGCAAGGCAGAAAGACAAACTGTTGTTGGAGCAGGACTGGACTGTTGCACCCTTGGGGATTTTATTTCATTTATTTATTTTTACTTAATTTTTTTTTTTTTTAAACCTGCATTTCCTTGGAGTTGCATGGTTGCTCTGAGTTTCAGGCTATGCTGTTGCTGTAAGGTGGCACAAACCTTCTGGTTATGGAATGTGTCGGTCTTGCCCTTTCTGTGCTTATTTATGCTTTCTGCCTTTCTTGTGCTGGCAATAATGTTTGGCCATATGAGGAGCCAGGTGAGAACTCAATAAGTGAAAATTGCTGTTATGAAAAAGCCTCAAACTCCAAATTATGCTAGTAAAAAAAGAAAAAGGAGGCAGCAAGAATGAAATGTCCAGGAAGGGGAAAGGACTCCTCAGTGGCAACATGTGCTTCTCCTGGGTTTATGTTAGCTTTAAGTTCTTGTGAACTTTGTGTTCAGCAAGTATGTGTGCTGAAACAGTGAAAGATAAAGTATCTTTGATTAATTCTGTGAAAGATAAAGTATCTTTGATTAATTCTGTGAAAATGAAAGATGTATCTGAACTGGGAACACATCTGATCATTGATGGTTTTCTATCATAGCAACTCAACATTTGCTGAGGTTTTCTGCCCAAGTGCATTGTATCCTTTTCCCGCCTTATTTGTTGGAATTGCAGAACCTAAAAGCTGCCAGAAGGTGTCACAGTGTGCCCTGCTAAACGGTTAGCGTATAGACAGATTATGATTAGAGGTTAACCTTTGCGTTTTGGCTTCCTCTTTTGGGTAGAATATGCAGCCACACAGCATATTGAATTTCCTGCAGAGTGTTTTGCCACCTGTTCTGGATAATGCTAATTTCTCAGCTTCAGAAAATACCCCTCAGGCAGCTTTCATAGCTGTCTGCAGATATGAAACTTACAGACACAAATTTGGGGGAAAAAAACCCCAAAGTTTTTGGGAGCATTGGGCTTATTTGCAGAACAGTTACTAAGCTGGTATTTCCATGGTGATAGATACATAAATTATTTTTGTTTGAAATTTGCTTGTGGGAAAGTAAATTTATGTATAATGCTAAGGTTTTAAAATACTTTTTTCTTTTATGTTGGGAAGTACTGCAGTGAAGAAGAGCATAATTCTTAATACTGTGATATAATTCTCTTTTGTGCATATATATGATGGTTGGAACAAGTTAGCATAAGGCATGTCCCATGCTCTAAACATAAGGTACTGTGTCAGGAAATAACGTAAATTAGAGTTTGCTTTACCTGGAGACTTTTGTATTTCATATTACATTATTAGGCTATTGATGTACAATTCCTGCAGGGGTTTTTATGATGTACAAATCCTGCAGGTTTATTTTTAGCAAGCCGGTTCTAAATGTTGTTGCCTTGCAAAAGCAGCTAGGACAAAGTGGATGGATCATGTTTTTCTTAGTTTTCCTTGTGTTCTTTGTGGTTTTGACTCTTTTTGCAATCAGCTTAGCTGCTTGTTTGAATTTGACAGTTCAAGTTATATCCTAAGCTCTAACTGACACATCTTGTCTATGCATGTATTTATTGTCCTGTTTTAATTACGAGTGGGGCAAGTCACAACTAATCTTAACACACACACGTGCACACAGACATGTAAGTAAGTTTAAAAATCATACATAAATACATTTAGATTTGAAATTAGAATGTGATCTATAATTGTCCAAGTAGTGAGGCTTTGGAACAATTTTGTAATAGATTTAGTAAGAGGAAACTAACTGGTTTAAGATTGAACTTAATATCACAATAGTGTTACTGGGGACTAGACTTCATGCCCAAGAAGCTGACTTCAATGTACAGATTTCAGATTAAGAGAAAGTAATACATTCAAGAATGAAGAAAGACCTTGAAGCAATTCAAGCTCTATTTATACATCAAGGGGAGTGGAGAGAGAGGGGGCAAAATCACAGCTTGCATGTATTCATTTAATACTACCATTCTATGAATCTCAAAGCTACTCAAAAATGCAAAATTGTGATGCCCTTTTCAATGCCTGTTTTAGGAGAAACTGCGGCTTGAAAGAAACAAGGAGTACAATCAATACCTCAGGGATAAAGAATTGTGGAATGAAAGGCTAAGGAAATTAGGGAAGAAAAATACAGAGGTAATACAGTTTTTTGGTTTTATCATTGACTTATTTATATTGATCTGAGAAAGCTTTTCTATTGCTTGTTCGTTGTAAAATTTTGTGTGGAATGGGAAAGTTTTCTTTTTTAAATATGGTTGCCTTAGTTTTAGCGATGGGCTGCAATAATTTGTAACTTCCATCTATTGCAAGTTTGATTAAAGAAGGCCTTCCACCTTTTTTAATATGGAAATCTTTAAGTGTAGGGTAGTGTGAAAGCCAGGCTGTTCCATGAAGGGACTTGTATTTGTACTCACAACAGCTGAAAATTTATTGTCTTTCTTGCATCAGACAGCAAGTGCAAATATCCATGTATTTTTAAGTTCTGTCTAGAAGAATGTGTCTTGTCTGTCTCCAGAGAGATTATTTTCTCATGAGAAGGATCTTTTTCTCCAAGTGTATTGGAGTGTCATATAGTTGAAAACTGGTTTAATCCATGAGGACAGCTATGAGGCAGAATTCAGGCATCCTTCATATTTTTGAATTCAGTATCTGATTCTTACTGGGTTCTTCAAAGTCTGGAGAGCTACACAACAGTGAACCCTAGGAAAAAGCAAAAATGCAGCTTGTGTTTTGTAACTGAGGCTGTAAATCTGTAAAGTTTTTTCTACATGTTTGGGCATTTATGTTTACTCAGCTGACTTATCTAATTAGATTTAGGGAGTCAAGGTTTTTCCTTTCTTTGTTTGTCATCTCATTGGACCTTTATGTTATATTTTTGTTATTCTTGTGTAGAAATAGTTCTGTCAAAATCTTTTTGATAAAAGAACAAGCAGTTTGCTCAATGTGATTTGTTTAGACTCAGATCTTTTAGTATTTTTTTTCCATTAAACAGAATGAGATGGACAGGAATAAAAACCCTACTGCTGTTACAAGGCTTCAGCCAGAACTACATACAGAAGTGCAGCCCTCTAATACAAGTGCAGAACCTCCCAAAAAGGATGCCTTTACTTCTATGGAAGGTTATGAAGAGCTGCTAAATAAGAGATGGCTGGAGGAAGGCAGGTATCATAGTAGGTTAGATGATGACATTGAATTAAGAAGTCGACTATTAAATAAAAGACTTGATGAAGATTTGGATGTTCCCAATCGAAGGCATCGTGGATTTGCTACCCAATCCCTAATTCCTATTAGGAAGCATCACAGACTTGATGAAGAACGCAATTTTGGTAGAAGATACTACAGAATGGACTATGATCCTGAGATAAGTGAAGAAATGGACCCTAGATTTAGATCCGAAAGCACTTATGACAGAAGAACTCCTCGTTTTTTTTATGCTGAAAGGTATTCTAAATTCTGTTTTCTCCATTATTTCTGTAGTGTTGCTGACAGCCATTTTACTCTTACTGAAAAATAGTCAAGATTCTCATGCGAATGCAGGATTTTTGCACTTACCTTACAACAGACCTTTGCAATAATTTTTAGAAAAAATATTTTAAAATTGGACCAATACCTAAGACTATGCATTATACATTAGGGAGCATACTATATATTGCGGCAAACCAAGGATATTACCAAGAAATTACCTCAGAAAAAAGAGTCTACAGTTCATTTTTATGAAGAGTAGTTTGACGGAGAACATTCATTATTAAATAACCTTTACCGTGTTAACGGGTGAATCAGTTTGGTTGCTTTGACATAAATGGTTAATCTGTCTCTTCTAGGTCACTCATTGAAAAGGGAAAAAAATAAGTATGACCTTCCCAATCATTCAGGGTTTGGCAGTCTGGCCACCCTTGGTTATTCCATTGCAAGAACCGGTTGCTTTCAAAAACAGATGGGTTGTGGTGTGAAATAGTACCAAACTTGAAGCAGTTGTGTTTTATGCAGCTAAATTCAAATGAACTAAAGCAGTAAAATTTCTTGTAAATAAATTTTAAAAAGGTGCTTGAAGAGTCTACATTTTATCACTTTACAGATCTTGGGAACAGGCCTCTTGCCAAAATTATTCTCCTGCAGCTCCTTCAGTGAAGGAAATGCCGATTTCTTTCCCTTTTTAGGCAAAATAACTATTTTTTCCCCCTCCTCCCCTAGAATTAACAACAGTAGGCAATATCATGTTGAATAATAGTGTACACATTCTTAGGTATTCAAAAAACTGATGGTGCTTGTATAAATCTGAAACCCATATATCGCTAGGCAATTCATTGCTTAATTGGAGAGGCCTCTGAAACACTTTTAATTCAGTTTTCTTTTTTAAAAAAAGGTAGTCTTATATTTATTATTGGCAAACTTGGTGCCGTCTTCTTAAAAGCAGTTGCTGGACTATCACCTGAGTTGCCTGAACTTAACTTTGTACATGAAATTAAAGTTTGGGGGTTTTTTTGGTATGATTTTCTACTTTGCTGCATTTTTACTGAAAAATCCCTTTTTTTAATTAAATGTGCTTTTTAATCTAGTACTTTCTTCTTCGCAAGGAGCTCCACTTAAACTTTTATTAACTATTTTCAGTCTCACTTCAAGAAGGAGAAACACTTCTATTAGTTACTGACAGCTCAGCTTCTGTAGAGTTAGCATTTTTTTTCTCCCTTTTCATTATGGGCAATGTCAACTTTTCCAGAACACATTTGATTCAGTATAGAAACTAAATTCATAAGGAAGAATATTTTATTTGCTGTATTAAAATGTTTATGTTTTTAAATGGGCTTTATTGGTTTGGAGAGGCAGGTGTTTCTTTTCAGAAAGATCTGTTTTGATGGAGGCACAAGGGCTGTGGCATGTATCAGCAAACAGAAATGGTGACAGGGAAGTGAGGGGAATGCTTTAATCCATCCCCAGCAGCTAGCTCTGTCCTATAAACAGGATACAACAGCTTCCTGATTGAATTGGGCCAACATCTTTGCTGCTTTTTTACAAAAAAGGTTGCCTCTTGAATCCCAAAGTTTGTTTCTTTGTTTTCTCCCTCTGTCCTTTCATCACTGACTGTGTTTCAGTCTTATGTGACCAGCCTTGTAAGTAGCGGGTTGGTCACTATCAAAAAGATGATCTTGATTATGAAAGATCATGTTATGCCGAGAGGATGGGTGCTGTTCTTTCATGTTCTTTTGGGTTGTTAAGATGCCAAATCAATGTTTAATAATCTGCTGCATCCTTTCACTTTTGATTATTGGCTTTTATTTAAATTACAGAGATGGGCAGAGCTGTGGGTCTTTTTACATAAAAGAATAAGATGAGGTTTTTCTTATGTTTGCCTAGTATTTTTTTTGTTTGCTTACTAGGAAGTCCAGCTCAGGAAAATATGTAACTTTGCTAGCAGCTGTTGGGTAGTTTATTTTTCATTGAATACCTATTTCTGCCTTTTATCAAGGTAACTTGAAGTCCTCGTTAAAGAGTAGTCTGTGAGGCAAGAAAAACCTGTAAATTCAAGTACCCCAGATTTTTTTCAGGAAAAACTCCCTTGTGTCCATACATTATTTGGCATGTTCAGAATTATTTGAAGCTTCAATTATATTACTTCATATATGGACGATTCAAATTTTAGCTCCTGAATTTTCGTATTCACCATGTTACCTGTCTTTTATCTTTTTATCAGAAGTTACCTCTCTTTTAAATGGTATCAGCGGCATAGTGAAGGGGAGGGTGTCATTACAGACGCTTTTCATATCTGAATTAACTGTTTCATCAGACTTGCCCAATAGCTGTGTGCTGAAATGAGTTGTAGACTTTGTTGGCTCCTGGGGATTAAGAGCAGCAAAATCTGTTTCAATTAATGCAGTGTGAATGCTCTTCAGCTCTCAAACTCTTAACCAGGGTCAATAGATAAAGGCTGCATGACAGCAGGCTTGGGAATTCAAACTCCAGACAGAGAGCTGCCTTAACAAGGCTAGCAAAGTGAAGTGTTTCTAGAAAATTTGTGTCATATTGTCAGAACTGGTTTTGCCATCTTGTACGCAATCGGGCTGAGAATGCATTTGCATGAGAGTGCTGGACCTTCCATTTCAGATTGTATGTTGTTAGGCAAGCATAGCTGATTATCTTCTATTTCTTTAAGGCCCTATCTGGATGGAATAGTAAGAGATCTACCTGCAGATTATGAAGATGAATTAAGGGAGAGAGCACGTGTGCAGCAGACCTCAAGAACTGGAAATTCGAGGTGTGGTATATAGTGTATTTTCCTGATAATTGCACTATAAATTCATGGTGAAAGGAAAACGTTTATTTAAAATCCCTGATATGTTGTCTGAAATGACTGATAGTTTTTGTTACAGCTAGGATATAGTAGTACAAGAAAAGCCTGTTTCTTTTGAGGACAGCTGCTGAAGTTTTCTTTTTGAAACAATGGATAACCTATTCTCCTATTGAAGACTCTTAATAGAAGTAACATGGAATCCTTTTTTGATAGTAGTTTTAAAATTTCTTTTTGCGTCTTGTCTTGGTTTTGCAAATCCTGAAGTGATTTAGCTGGATGAGGCAGAAACAAACACTTACAAAGCCCTTACATAAACTCTTGACTGGCACCGCTCAGTCTGTCAACATTGTTTAAGTGCTTGACTGAGTCAGTGTTTCAAATGGCTTCAGAAACTGCAGGCAAATGAGCACTGTGAGAAATGCCTTTTTGCCAGGTGGTTTCTTCTTTTGCTTGTGATACTTCTTTGGATTTTAGGAAAGCTGTTTGTTGTAAATGTATCACATAGTGATTGATGTAAGTGCATCTATCATGTTCCACACAGACTGCAAGTACATTCTAGAGTTTGATGTTTCCTTTTCTTTTTTGTCTTTGCTCAGAAATCAGGTACACGTTAGTTCTTCGGCTACTGAACAGGCCAAGTCTGCATCTGAAATGCCGTACGCAACAGGCCTTGGTCTTGGTATGTATAAAAACCTAACTAATGACAATGAGCTAGACTTGGCTTTGCATATTTTATTTTTCTGTGGGAATAGTTAAAACTTAGGAAAATAAGCTTTTTATTTGTGCTAGTTGTCACCAAGACTGGTAAATAAATATTATTTACATAGAATAAAAAAGGAAAAAAAGCCATGTTTCTTTTCCCCGTGAATGGAATGGGGCTTTCTGATTAATTTTGAAGAGCCTAATTTTCTTCTTTGATTTCATTAACAGTTGAAAGTCTAGATACATTCTTAGGTTCTTTTATGAAATGAAGTATAGGAGAACTATTAACTTCTGTGTTGTTAAAGACACAGCCTTGGGCCAAGAACAAATGATTCTGATCATCTCTTACTGCTTAAATGTAGCCATAAAATTTAGCAGGAAGTATTATTATTGAGTGTAGTAGAGAGAAATATTGTTGAAAACATAGCTGAATTCAGAAAATCATAAGACAAGGATAAAAGAACTGTAGTAGTTCTCCAGACGGGAGCCTCAGAAGACAGGCTAGGTTTGAATTGTGGAAAAGTTGACTAACAGTTATCAGAATAATTGTTATTTATTTTTTCATTTGAACTTCCCTCACCTTTAATGCTATTTTTTTTTTTTAACTCTTTAAAGGCAACGTTAAAACAGTGGTGTTGTAATGGTCAGTCATGTCACTTATAGTACTTGAGTACACAAAGTTGTGAATTTATGTTCTAGCAGTCCTGGTTAGGAGAAGAATATTGTTAAATATGTTGTATAAAGATTAAGTAAATTAAAACTTGAAATTTTTGGAAATTAGAAGTGATTTCAGACTCCCTAGAAATCACAAAGCCTGAAGTTGTCTTGCACATTTTGGTTACTTTACAGTCCCAGCACAATAATCGAATGAAAAATTCAATCATGCATCATGGTTTTTGGTTCTTGTGTTTTGGTTTTATGTTTTATATTTGTTAGTTTGTCTGGGGTTTTTTGTTTGTTTTTAGTTTCCTTGCAGGTTCCTTCACTTCATTGTTCAGGTCTACTTTACTGGATATCCACAGTGACCTTGTGTTTGGAAATATGTTAGAAGACCTTGTGTTTGATAGTTATAATGTATAGAAAGTGTTGATGGAATATTTTTTATTGTTGTTTTTAAAACAATAGAAGACTCCATGCTTATTGTGCGGGTACTACCATAAGTTGGAAGTTTTTTGGGTTCTTTTAAAATACTGTAGATGCTATCACTGTTTTCCTTCTACATACACATACCTGTCAATGCTTTGCTAATTCTTAGTAGTCATGAAAACCATCCTAAAAGCGGAGCAATCTCCCTGCAGGTTTGACTCTCTTCAGTTTTAACTTTCATTTTTATCCAGAGCAGTTCCACGTAATTTGGAGTGCCATAGTGTATCTTCTTTAGTTGAGCCTGAGGGGAAAAAAACATGAGTGACTTGTTTTTAAGTTGCTGTTGAATCACATAGCTTTGGAATTGGCAGCTTCCTTACTATACAAAACTAGGCAAATTAAAAAAAAAATAGTAATAAACATTTCAGTAGTTTGGATCATTGTACTCCAAACAAACTGCATATTAAAACTAGATATATCTTTTAAAGTCAATAAAGATCCAGTGTTCTTATGCACATTCTTAAATTGTATACTCTGTGTTCCATGTTTTACATTGACTGAAATGTGATATTTTTGTCCAGTACCTTTTGTGTATTCTGTGGGGCATTTACACAAATGGGTGATTACTTCCATTAGGTGGTCAGGACCGAGAACTTGTCCAGAGGAAAAAAGAGAAATACAGGCAAGAACTAATAGAACAGATGGCTGAGCAACAGCGAAATAAGAGACGGTAATGGAAAGTTACTGGCTTTTTGGTTTGGTGTTTTTTTTTTTTTTGTTTGTTTGTTTTTGGTTTTTTTAAGATAATGGCTGAAATTTAAAGGCATTTCATGAATTCAGTGGTGTAAGAATAATTTTCATAACAAAGGAATTCCAGCTAGCTAGGTAATCTGGCATTCAGTTAAACTCATCAGTGTGAGCACTTTAGTTTTAAATAAAACTTCGAGTGGAACAAAGGAAAAAACAGATATTTTTCATTTTAAAAAATTATCTTTAGTTTCTTAAGGGTGAAGAAGCTGAAGTTACCCTTTTTTTTTTAATTTTTTTTGTTTTTTATTTTTAATTAATTATTTGTTTCCCTCCCACCCCATCCCACCGCACCCCCTGCCCTGGAACGGGAGTGTCTAATTACTTTTCAAAGTTGAAAACAGATCTTGGATCTTGGTTTGCCCTGATTTAGGAAAGTAACCTTTCACTTTAAAGCACTTGACCACCTGACTTATGCAGAATAATAAAATACAAATTGTCTTGCTTACCTGTTAGTAGCTGCCTGCTGAATGATAGACGGTGATATTAGTGAAGGCTTTAGGAATTGAAGGTAATTTACTATTGATGGTTTCACTGTGGTGGAAAAATTGTACATGGTGAGCAAGCCTGAGCCCTGAAATTACAATATGATACTTCCTGCTGTACTTCTGAATCATTCATTTCTGTATGATTTTTACAAACTTCTTGCTGTAATGCGAATAAAAATCAATTTTTAAGAAATGACCTGAAGGGTTGTAGTGAAAAACCAATGTGGTGGTTTGTCCTTTTACAGTAGTTGGATTTTTATTAGGTGGACTAGATGATAGCCAGATGAGAGTTCTGTTTATTTACAAATAATACACAGTATCCTTCTTCCCTGACTCCAGAAGAAATCAAATGGAATCATGTCTTTTAACTAGAGAGTTGTGAGGTCTGTGCTTTTAAAGAATGGGTATAGTTGTGACTGTTTCCTGATTTGATCTGTTGTTTTTGGTTTTTAAACAAAAACAGTGAGAAGGAACTTGAGCTCTCAGTTGCTGCTTCTGGAGCTCGAGATCCAGAAAAAAAGGTAAGGAACTTGGTTTTTCTTTCACCTGTAGGTATATACACACGCACATAAATACACGTGTATATATAAATGTATATATATTTTTTTATTATTACATGTATACTATGGCTGCTCAGACACAAAACTTTGTAGGGGTTTTATAGAATGGTAAATGTGGGTTTTTTTCCTGTAGGGCATTAGCATAGAGTAAAATTGAAGCCAAGGATGATAACGCTGTAAATCAGTACACATGCTTTCAGCTTAAGTGGAAAATGTTTTATAGAAGTTACCAAATATTTTCTTTTGCTGTGACCAAGTGGAAATTTTGTGCAAGCAGTGGGTATCAAGGAAAAAATACTTACACATTAGTAACCTGTCCTTGGGAATGTAAGGAATGTTGCAGAAAGCTTTTGCTCTTTCTCAACTAAAAAAAGAAATCCAATTGTTATGCAGCCCAGTTGATATAATTGTAGAAAGTTTTGATTTCAAATTCTTTTTTAAACTATCAAAGGTAGCGTTCCAGATTACAAGCATTTTTATAGGGTTTTGTAAATAGCAAGATGTTTACTGCTGTGTTGCTTGTTTTAACAGAGTTACTGCTGTTCCTCTTCTTTAGTAAGGTGATTACTGTACTAGAATTTTGATTAGCATATATGGAGGAGTATATTGTCAGCACTAGTAACATTAGTAGCAGACTGTTGCAGAATTAGCAATATTTGCATGTGTGTTTGCAAAGTGTCGAAGCCATTGTAACTATCTTGGGTACAGCAGAGATCTGCTGTTTGAGGTGTAGGAAGGGTAACTTTCTCAAGCAAGAGTAATCTGATTGTTAATTCAGCTGGTTATTGGTTTAAATTCTCAATTGTGCTGGTTTTGGGGGAAGGCTACAACACAGAAAGAAATCTGTGTTATTTCTGGAAGGCAGAGGTGAAAGAAACTCTTATTTTCTAGAAAATGAAGATGGATGAATGAATAGCTGTTAAGATGCTATTAGGCAGCACATGAGGCAGGATACTGAGAACGCACGTAGATAAGCAATGAAGCGGGATCAAAATTCCTGCTCCTTAATGGGGAGGGAGAACACTGGCAAGTGGTCTGGCTGCATGTTCCTGCCCTCTCTGCTTAAAGTATCCATAGTGCATGTTTGATCCCTTTTGAAGATGGATGAATGAATAGCTGTTAAGATGCTATTAGGCAGCACATGAGGCAGGATACTGAGAACGCACGTAGATAAGCAATGAAGCGGGATCAAAATTCCTGCTCCTTAATGGGGAGGGAGAACACTGGCAAGTGGTCTGGCTGCATGTTCCTGCCCTCTCTGCTTAAAGTATCCATAGTGCATGTTTGATCCCTTTTGCGTCTGATGCAGCTTAGTTATCTGGCAAAAATAATATATATATATGATATGTGTGTGTATATATATATGTGTGTGTATATATATATATGTATGTGTATATATATATGTATGTTTTTTTTCTTTTCTGCTTTAGTTGGCTTAGATTGGTTGGTTGGCTGATCAGGGATTCAGATTGTGAAAGGGAGAGGAATAGAGTGTACAGCTGAGAGCCAGGCAGGAAATAAGGAAAAACTGAGTAGAGGATGCTGGTTCTTTTGGCACAGCAGGCTGTAAGGTCAGTGCAAACAGTTTTGTATAATCAGAGCTGCCCAGGCAGGAGCATGCTGTGCTGCAGCACTCTCAAGACTGTTTGCATCTCGGTTAGAGACTGAAAAATGCCTGTTGTAGGAACAAAATTATATCCAGAGCAAGGCCAGTGCATGTATAATGTTTTAAAGCTATTAATTTAGCTGAAAGCCTTCAATTAAGTAGAATTGCTACATTCATTAAGCATCAGTCACCGTTAGCTTTAAATTGCCTCTCAGGGAGAGATTCTAATTAGGTGGATTTCTTGATTAATTACAGGTTGGTTAAATAGCAATGCCTGATTAAGAATCTATAAATGTAGACTGTTGTATATACTGCTTGTTTAAAATAAAACAATCCCCAGGGTGAGCTGAGTACCATAGTCACATCTGAAATCAGCTGCAGAGCTGCACTTGCGGGCACTTTAGGAGCAGTTTGCATTACACTTGGTGAGAAAAGCTGTTTTAATTGTTCTGCTCAGGACACTGGATTTGAAAAGACAAGTTAAAAAAGTAAAAAGGTCTGTTGACTGCTTTATAGTTTAATTGTTGTAGCTCATATTTATTATCTAATTTTGTATTTAATTCTAGAAATTTGAAGTGTTATAAACAAATATTCATATCTAGTAGATTTTGAGAATTTTAATCTCAATGCCGTAGCTCATGATTGGTGAGTACTAACTACCTTGTGTATACTGTCTTGCAGCTAAGTGATGAGGAGGTAAAGATTCAGAATTTTGCTGAAATACTTCCATATTGTAGGGTATATGTGTTGATGTTAGATATTTAGTATTTAGCTGGTTGCTGCTATTACTTTCTCTGCATGTTAATTGAAGCATTATAATGTTAGAACCAGTAAATTCAGAAACAAAACCTGTTTTACTTGATGTATGATTTTTTTTTTTCCCCTCGGTCTTCTCTTATATGGACTAATTTAAACATAAAAATATTTATGCATAGCAGCTGGTGTAAGGGCTATCTGGGTGTCATAGGATAGTTCTGAAACTGACTTGCATACCTTCGCATTATTTGCATGTTGCCTTTGACTTTCTTCTGAGGCTGACAGTTATCAATAAGTATTTGATAGTTCTATTTTAAAAAGAACACCCTTCCCCCCAAAATCTCATTGTTGTGGATGAAAAATTTAATAAAATCAAAGGAACTTATAAAATAAAATAATGGTTTTGCAAGGAACTGTTCATTGGAAAACATCTCAAATGTGTTTTCAGTTGTAGCTTTTACTGATTATGAACTGTTTTAATCTTGGGGCAGGGATTTCAGGAACTTTTCCTTTGCAGAAGATGAGAATACTCTTCTGTGTAAGAAACTGGCAGCTGTAGATAACCTGTAATACAGACAACTGTAGAGAAGTTCCTTTTTTTCTGGACATGACTAGAACCATGTACTTCCTGAAACCTGCCATAAGAGGTTGTTTTTTTGTAAATCTGTGATAAACATGCTAAATTTCCTTGTAGTATTAGATTTCTTGTAAGTTCTTGGGAGAAAAAAAATGCAATTACTAGAAATCTGAACAGCTTGTTGGGACCCAGTAAAGTGTTTCATGCAACATAAATGGAGGTTCAGAGTATTTCCTAGTAATAACAAGGTAACTGGTTTGTTTGTTTGTTTGTTTCCCTTTTTTGTTTTGTTTTTGTTTTCTTGTTTTTTCCCTTTCAGCCAAATAGGTTGAAGCAGCTTGGCTTGACAGCAAGAGCTTCTGAAGAGAAAGTACCTCCTGAAAAGCCTAGGGTGGCTTTCCAAACACCGGTGCCTGGCCCTTCAGCCTCTCCAGTGAATGAAGACTTTCACAGGGGACTAGCCAGCACTCTTGGTGACATAGCAGCTCCCAGGTGCTTTGCCATCATGTTCATTTTGCATATTAAATAAGATTGTTGTTAAGCATGTTATTAGTGTAAGGTAGACCTCACTGGTGCTATTGATCCTTCTCCAGGGAACTAATGAAGGAAGAAATAATACTTTGACAATTAACAGGAAAGTAAGCTACTTTGCTCTGAAATAAACTGTTAATGTCTGTTTCTTCACAGTTTATTTTGAAAAATCTGTGGAGGCTGGATTGTCTGTGAAGACAGCTTTTTCTTAGTGGATGTTTGTGTAGAATAAGGGTTGTGCTGTAGATGTCCATGGCCATAATACTGAACTGTATTGTAAGGATGCTTGGGCACATGCCCAGCAGTGTCCATATTGTTAGGAGGCTGGTATGGCAAGAGTTCAGACCCCATCAATTAAAGATCCCTCAGGGCTAAGCTCAGGAATGCAGTATGGGCAAGGACAGCTTCCACTAGATGCTGTGACTGAGACTAAACTGTTTAGGGAGACAGAAGGAGCTTTAGGCATGTGGCTGAAGCTGTGCCACTTGCCCTTTGACCAGAAGACTAATCCTTGGCTTGTTGTATTTACTGTTACTGATGTAACCAGTCAGTATCATTAACTGAACCAGTTAAAGAAGGCATGCTTGGTTTATGTTCTTTACGTTTCTGGAATAGTGAGGGTTCACATACTGCTCCTTCAGGGAAGGTTAATTCCCTACCAAAGCTTATGAATGGCAGTAATGAGAGGTCTTGGGCTAAGCTAAATCTGGAATTTTCCTATAGTGAATTTTGTCTCTCTCCCCACTTGCTCTTCCCCTTAACACCCCTCACCTTCTTCTTTCTTTTCATGATCTCTTTTTCACTGGTACAACAAAACAAAAAATTCTGTTTCTTTTTTCTTTAAGGCTTGCACCGATGCCACCACCTCCACCACCAGTGTTGACAGACAACTACAGAACGCCTTATGATGATGCGTATTACTTTTACGGGGTTAGGAATCCTTTGGATCCCAATTTTGCATATTGTAAGTTGATGATTTTAGGTGGATTGGTTGTTAGAGTGACTCAGATGACTGCTTTTAATCTACTTAAATGATGAATAACGTAGAACTAGTAACAGCAATTTAAACCCATTTCTTAGATGTGTATTGTATGAAAAGTAGGCTTTTTATCAATACTGGTTTTGGATGAAGTAGTTTTCTCCAATTGCAAAAAGGCATATGGTATCCAGAAGTCTTGTCAATTGCTTGAACAAGCTTTAGTCTCAGCTACTTCGTCATTACTCCTCCCAGATAATTTTCTTTATGGTTTTGGTAATGAAAGCATAATTTTCTAAAATTGCTTAAATCATGTTAAAATTGATTACGTTTTTAGGTGTAGTTACAATCCAGATATGATTTTAAATATTTTTAAAGGAACTGGGTGAAGTAATCAAACTTTTTATTTTAAGAACTCCTTTTCTTTTTATTTTAAGAACTCCTTTTTTTTTTTCTTTTTTCTATTCTTTTTATTGCCCGTTTGCTTCATAATGATTTCATGAGTGAAACAACTGTGATGTGTTGGGGAGGGACTGGATTGTATGCTGTTTGGTTTCTTTTTTCTTTGCTTTTCCTTTTTTCTACTTTTGTTTCTATTTTGTTGCTTTTTCTTATTTTCCTTTTCTAAGAGAAGTTTGCAATAGAGGTTGGGAGTCCTGTTTGTAATTCTGCAGTTTGAACAGTGAGCTCTGTTCTTTTTAAGTAATGGCAAATGTTTCTATCTGAGCATTCAAAGTTTAACATACTTTTTATTTTCTTTTCTTTTTTTAATTTTGTTGTGCTCTTTAGATGGCCCAGGTATGGGCCATCTACAGATGGGAATGCAACCCACACCTCATCTGGATCCTTCTTTCGGTCAAGTCCCAGTGGAGCAATCTGTGTAAGTATTATTTGTATTCACATTCTTTGTATTTATCTGTATTGACACACTTTTCATGGTAGAAGTATTTTGCTGAGAAATGGATATGCCTTGGCAGTAAAATACGTTAAAGACAACTCTTCGAACTTCTAATTAAGAATTTCTATCTGAACATTATTCAGTGAAATAATTTTTTTTTTTTTTTTTTTTTTTTTTTGTGCTGTGGAAAACAGCAGCTCTTAAATATTTCAGGCAGGGATTTTTTTATTTTTAATTTTTCAATTTTTTTTTTCTTCAAAACTCCCCACACCACCTCCCTTCCACCTCCCCCCTTCTGGACCCTACTATGTTTTCCTTTTATATGTGTGGTTTTTCTAATTCAGAAGTAGCATTGGACAGAGGAATTCAGGAGATGGACAATTAAGCACAGGAGTATTTTCTGAAGAAAAAACAAAGCCTTCCAAAGAGGCAACATTATCTTATCAACAAGAATTACAACAGCAGGTACTGAGTGATAAAGCTTCTGATGCTTTCTTCTTTTACTATTTAACATACAATAGTTGTAACTCTGGTACTCTTTCAAACATATTCGTTTAGTTTACAAGTAAAAAGCTTTTTTAACTTCTCTCCATCACTTCCCCCATTCCTATGACTCTACTTCAGCTCGTTTTTAGCTCTTCTTTTTTTTTTTTTTGTCAGAGGCAGAGAGAATGTTAACACTGACAGCAAACAGATTAGTTCCAGACATGGAGTTTTATATAATTATTATCGTAAACATCTACCAGCATCTTAAAAGTAATGAGTTGTATTGCTCTGATATTCCTATTGAAAGAATGTTTTTGAGCATAATTGCTATAATTAGGAACACTCTAATTTCACCAAGTTCTTCTTGATAATTTGGATACTAATTCAAAAGCTTCCCTAATGTTTATTTCCAGTGTATTTCTAGGTGGAGTCTTACCTCTTTTCAGCTTCCTTTTTGTTAGACCAGACAGATTTCTTGAGTCTTCTGTATTTCAGTAGGCATCCTGGTCCCCTCTCATTTTAGTGGCCGTTAGCAGCTGCACCTAATGGGAGTTTTTATTTATAAGATATATTTGACCATGATAAGACAAGTTATTTCAGAAGAGATTTTGCTAGAACCCAGTTCAGTGGCACTTATATTTTCTTACTCTTCTTTCTGTATTTATTCACGGGAGGTTATTAATTACTATAAAAAATATTCTAGCTCTAATAAGGATAAAGGAGAGGCTTCCAATTAAAGTCAAATTAAGAACAGACACTGAAGAATAGTGTCTGATGGTTGTACTTATGTCCTCTGAAGGCGTTTTTTCACTATAGTCTTAAGTAAATTTTATCTTGCCATATGAGGGGCTGCACAATTTGACATAAAGGTATAATAAATATTATGCAATACAGTCTTCTAAAGTTACTATGCTGCTTATGGTTGAAAGCAAACAGAAGGTATTCTGCTTTTTTCCTGTTGACAAACTTGGCTGACCATTTTTGTTAACAGTTGAAGAGGCTAGATGGGTCTTTGGTTGACTTACTTTATCTCTTATGAAATTGTCTGACTACTTGATAAGGAGAAGTGTTTATCTAATGCGCAGAAAAAACAAACTTAAGAAAAACACTCCTACCTAAATAGTAGCTGATGTTTTAGAGGCTTTGGACAGAAGATGGACTTTTTTTAACAGCTGTTCTCTTTATAAATGCTACATGAAGTTATTAGGAGACTTAGTTACTTAAATTTAACCTGATTTTGAAGAAAAGGAAGAACAAACCATATGAACAGTTCTGTGTTATTTGCATACATCATCATGTATTACTGCAGAAAACAGTATCGTGTTACTGCAGGAAACTATTTCAAGAATGGTTATAGAGTTGTGTAGCATTCTATTAAAGCATTCATTGTTAGGAGTCTATCTCATGTCATCTCTAGTCTATGTTTTGGTTAAACAAAACATACGAAGTTGAGAGAAGCAAGTGCTGTAGCATTGTAGGATTTTGCCTGTTTAATTTTCAGGCAATCTCTGTATCAGAGATTCAAAATTATCGAAGTTTTGATCTGCGGCAAGTGTCACTTGTGGATTTTTCTGGAACATGGAAGTCTTACACTGTGTATCGCTGTGTTTTTCTGTGGTCAGACTGTGATTGGACATGCGTGTTTCAACACCAGTGTTCAATGTACTGTCTGCAGTATAGGCAGTGAAGTGTTTGCGATTTACTTACTATAGATGGGGTAATGAATAAGGAGAGCACTCAGCTTGCTCTGTTAATTTTTTATTAAAATTATACTTAGTGTGAAATTTTTATGCAACTGATTTTGGTTTGTTTTTAGATAAGAGAGAGGGAGGAGCGACGCAGACAAGAGAAAGAGGAGAAGGAACGCTATGAAGCCAAGTTAGAAGCAGAAATGAGGAATTACAACCCCTGGGGAAAATGTGGTGGTGGTGCTCCTCTCAGAGATCCAAAAGGAAATCTAATAAGTATGTTTGCCAAAATCATGGGTTGTGTTTCCAAGATTAATGTTTTCTTGCTCTTGTAAAGGCTCTATTCAGATATGTTATTCCTTGTTTTGCAACACTGGTAGCCCTTTATTGACAAGTAGATGTACTCGTTTCAAGCAGATGCACTCTAGGAATACTTAAGTGAGTAATTATTTTGATTTCTGTAGATTCATTCAGAGTACAATTTGAACAAAATTGGAAACACGAGATATGTCAGCTAAAGTTAGGGACATGATGCAATAGTAAGAAGGAGGAAAACAAGCTGTTAAAATCATCTGTAATACAAATGTGCTAAGGTCTGTTGTGAAGACTTTTATTTAAACATTGTCCAGGAACAGGGTTTTCTCAAATTCTTTTTATTTAAAGTATCTTCTACGCTTAGAAATCTCTACTTGCCACATGGAAAATGGAAGCATGTTTGAATAAATATAGAAAGCTAAGTGGAATATTTAAATTTACCCAAGTAACACTGCTGGTGAACAGTTGTATGAATAGCAGGCAGCAGTAATGTTTTTTAAAGTTTTATTTTTTTTCCAAATGTTGTTTCGTACAAGGTGGAAGCAGTGAGCTGGGAGATAGCCATGATCCAGGCAAGTTGTTCATCCACTCCTCTAGTAAATCAGAGAGAGATGTAAGATTAAAACTCACATTCTTAATCCTGGTTCTTAGTGAGGCCTGCAGGGGTATTTTATCTGAAATAAAAAGAGTAAGTAGGCACAATTAGATTTTTATATTTCAAAATCTTGTTCTGGCTCTCTTAATGCCTGCCTTTAACATCTGAGTCTTACAATTTTATAGCTATTGATTTTTAATGTGAAATAAATGGATTTTCTTGTTACTGGAATATAATGTTGAATTCTGATTAGGTCTAAAAAAATACGTCTCCTGGTAATATAAGAATTTTCAAAGCACAGAACACTTACCGGATAACAGTTTATATATAAATACTTAGTTTCAGTGTTATGACACCTGAGTGACACATGGATAAATTCATAGTGTAGTTTGAGGGAAGGAAATACAGTTTAAGTATTTTTTTAAAGATTGTGTGCCCAAATTATGTTTAGAATTTTTTGTTGAGGTTCCAAGCTTGTGTTTATCCCCAGAGCAGATAGAGGTATTCACACTGCCTAACTTCAGGCACTGCATAGAAGTGTCTGGCTTCTTTAGGCTTTACAGTGGTGTGAGTGGAGTGGGCCAGAGGAATATATAGGCGTCTCATATTAGCCTGAGCTCTGCATATTCCTGCGTATGCTGAGAAGCTTATCCTCATTCACAAATGAGGAAACAAGAAAAAGAACTTTCTTAGCCTGCTTTCCTGAAGTACACGTGTAAAACTTATTTTTTTTTTTTCCACCATAGCAGCATAATGGTTAAGCTGTGAGTCAAGTGTCATGAAATGTAACATGCTTTCTGCCCTGTCTCTCTCTTTGTATCTCTTCTTTTGTCTTTTTATCTTGAAAATGTCTGTAAATAGCTTTTGTGACTCTGATGTATTCAAAGGCTGCTTTATAGAGAGGGAAGTTATTTAGAGTTCTTGGAATTTGTGTGCTTAAATGACTACAGTAATTCATAATTATCAGAAACACTATTTTGACATCTCTGATCAGGTTTTTCATGGTATCTGGGACGTACCATGTAAATCATGGTGTAATTGTAGGATGACATTGTTTTGCTTGTGTACAGAAGTCTGCACCTGGATTACTACAGAAGACATGAAGACCAAAATACACTCAAATGTTTAATTATACTTATTGCCCTTATAGTAATTAAATAGAGATTCAGTACTTAAAATACCAATACTAACCTCAAAATTATTTTACAGCTCTAAAGAAGGGGTGGTTTCTGAATAGATGCTGGCCAACACAGACATATGAGTCGTTTTTGTCTTTGAGTTCTTTATCTTCCCATTTCATGGCATTTTTGGGCAGGGGAGAGGGGAGGTTTGCTCTGAAGAATCATTCCTGGCAAAAGAAACCCAACAAAATAAATCCTTTAGTCAGTGAGCTCCTAATGATTAATATTTTACCTACAGCTTCTGTATTCTTGTCTTTCCTTAATTTTTTTGCTCCCATAGTTGGTGTGCCCAGAAAAAGTTGAGTCTGCTCAAAAATCTCTTTTTCTGAGACTCTGTGGTGAACGTGCCTTTTATGAGAATAAAATACTATAAACAATTATTTCCCCTTTCCTTTAGCGGACTTGAATATGATGCACAAGCAAAATGAAGATGCGTATCATAATCCAGAGGCAAGACTATATGAAGATAAAAGGGCTATTGTATCTGTTGATCTAAGTTTGGCCTCCCCAAGACCTGAGAACACAGAAGCATCTCCAAATAAAATAGCAGGTTTTTAAGAATACTGTATTAGAGTTCTATTTATAGGTCTTAGTGATCAAAATTCTCTAATTTCTTTGCTCCTTTCTAGTAGTCCTATGATAGTGTTAGTGCTTTCTACCTGCAAAGTCACTGTCATGCTTCTTTCCCAAACTTCTTCACTGCTGTCACTGTGTGCACTGAAAATGCATTTTCTTATCTCAGTGATAACCACTAACTTTTAGCACTGACAGTCAGAATCAGTATATTAGTTTTCTGGGTTCAATATAATCTAATCAAATCTTCATACATATTAGTTTTGTGTTTAATTGACACAGTAAAATACAACTGTATAGTACGAATAAAAGGAGGAGGAGGAGCATCTGCAGATGTATGGTGTTACAGGTTAAGGTAAACTGGTACAATAACTAGGTTAACAAATTCTAAAAAGTTACAGGTAAACTGGGTACATATGCAGCCCTGTGCGCTGCTTCCAAGTTTCAGGGATTTTATTTTATTTTCCTATTTGAAAACTAACACATCTTTATCTTCTTACCTTCTGCAAGGCATCTAAATGAGATCACTGTGGTACTCCAGACCTGACTCTAGTCTGAGCATTTAAACCTGACAGTATTCTAGGCAAACAATGTAAGAACTTTTATTCCCAGTTACTGTTTCCAGCTGTTGCCTTTAATTATGGCTGTCATGAGCTACCTTTCGAAACAAGTGTCTCAGATTCCTGCTGCTTCATTCTGGCTCGCTGTCTGAAATTTGCTTTGATTTTTACCCGTAACTTCCCTCCCCTCTTAGGGTTTGAATTTGCACAGACCTCTCCTTTTGCTCGAGGTAATGTGTTCGGTGAACCACCATCTCCACAGCATCTTAAGCGACAGGAGTCATACAAGAACTTTCTTCGTCTACAGGTGAGTCTGCACACTAGTTATCATCTGGTTAAATTTTGAAAAGAGGGGTTAATGTCAAAGTAAGTAATCACTGCTGACCAAAGATTTTACCTAGTCAGAGATAAGTCTATACACAAGAAGTGTATTAAGAGCTATGTGCTATTGAGTCTCTTAGATTTTGCGTTATATAGGAGATGCTATTAAAGTGAGGCTGTTAATAGTGGCTTCATTAATCTAGATTCTGTCTCTTTTTTTCCCCTCTAAGTGCAGCTCTCAAAATACAATATTGAGTTCTGAACTGTGCATGCAGTACAAGTTTGTGTACATAAATATGTAAAGAAACAAAGATGTTTGGTCTTGGAAGTTGATATGGTACATACGCACCTGTATATGATAGAAATGCACGTTCATCAGAATGAAGTGGTGATCAGTAAGACAATAATAGTGTAATTACTTATTGATGGATTTATAAAATGTGATTGTTCTTCTACCAGCTTCTATCTTCTGTGTGTAATGCTTTGCATATGATCTCCTGCTGCAAGAATTAAATATTGAATTCATTAAATATCATATCCAGGTAATCCTAGGTAATTTTAGAGAGTATGAATGTCATACACTAGTTTGATGTGGATCTCTTAAAAAGAAAAGATCAAGGTTTTCTTCCGTTTATAGTGCTGCAGAAAAGAATAAAGAATGGGCAGCCTTTTGGCTTTAGTAAGCCAGCTCTGTGTCTAAAAAATTTATAATTGTAGAAAGGAAAAAGATAATTGTAGAAAGGAAAAAGATAATTGCTATGCCTTTTTTGTTTTGGTTTCCTATCTTCCATTATTTAACCAGTGAAGAAAAGTGTTACTGTAGCACATGTGGAGTAGAGTAAATGTTAGGAAACATTCACATTTTATTAGTAGCATTTATAATTTGTGTTCTTACGGGAGGTTCTGTGAATAGTGGCCCAAAAGAAATAATCTCATTTTAGAGGAATTCTGAAGCTGAAATGTATGACTAGCCCTAGAATTCTTTCAATTGCTTCATACAATCTTTGTGCAAGTAGGTACTGCAAAAGTCATAGAAGATTATGATAGTAAATATTGAAGTTGAATACGACTTTATTTTCTAGATTGAAGAAAAGAGACGTAGGGAAGAAGCAGAGCGAGAAAAATTGAGACTGGAAGAAGAAAAAGAAGAAAAACAACTAGCAGAACAAAGGATGAGAATTCGAAAGGCATATGAAAAGGAACAAGAGGAGCAAAGAAAGAAAGAGGAGGAGGTGTAGTATTTTGAAACCTTGACTTTCTTCTATCTCAAACTAACCCTTTGTAGTATTTGTCCTCTAGATCGAGAAGGTGAACTGGGAAGTGTCCTGTGAATTGCTCTTTTTTTTTTTTTTTTTTTTAAATGTGTCTACATTAGCCAGAGGAGAGGTTGAAAATTGCCAGTATTAACTACCACATTCTTCTCACTCTTCATGACATACTACCAACTTGAAGTATGTTTTAATTCCTCTAAGTTGTATAGTTTTACAGTTGACAGTGTGCTCTCCTTGCTAAAGGAAATGAGGCCAATAAAAAGCTTTGTCAAATTGGTGAATTAAAAAAAACCCAATCAACCAAAAAAAAACCAACCCCAAACAAGCAAAGAAAAAACCCCTCCCAAAACCCCAGACCACCAGCTTTTTGTTAGCCTCTTAACTCTAGCTGTCATGGAATTATTTGTATTCGGAACCTAGCTATACAGGAAGATTTCGTGAAGCCTTTTCTTGAATTGGCCAGGATATATCTTTGAGATAAGAATACTGCTTGTTTCAGAAGAATGACAAGCAAATCTAATCAATACTTTTCATGGAGGTATACTTGTGATTGAATTTAAACCCAGAAGTTTTATTTATCAGGTTTGGAAAATGGAATGAATTTGCATAATTCAGAATCTCATAAATAAATGTAGGGAAATGATGGAAAAATCTCTCAGGACCCTGTGGGATTTTAAAGATCAGTTCAGGATGTAGGACTTCAAGATTTCCAAGACTTAGTTTAGATTGTCTTCTCTAGTATGAGCAAGTTAGTCAGATGAGTCTTGTCTTCTGGATAATAGAGCTGATCTAGTATAGAGTAGGAAGCTAACTGGTATCATGGTTTTTCACAGACACAAGACTAAGATGAGACTGGATGATAATTTTCCCTGTGGGCTTGTGATAGTATGGCGCATGTTTGAAGTACATTTTGTTTGAATCCGAATCTTTGGAAATGAAGCCTACAGTTTAGCCTTAACTGGTAGCAGATGTGGGGGCACAAACTGGTGTTCATTGAAGTTATTAGGAATTCTGTTACATGATGTTAGCACAGCCAGGACTGCAGATATTTAATATTTGAATGACATAGTTTTTAATTTGAATGTTTGAAGTCAGCCTAATGAAATATGCTTTTCATTTCATACTAATCACTTTGATGTGTAATTTTAACTTCTCAAAGACAAATAAAGCAAAACTTCAATAATGTTGAGTCTTTTTTATGTTCTAATAACGTTTGTGTTACAGCGAAAATTAAAAAATAAAGAAATAATTCGATTAGGTGAAGAGAGGCAAAAAGAGGCAGAAAAACGACGAAAAGAAAAAGAAAAGCAAAATGAACAATTTAGACAATATATTGAGAAGGAAAAGATGGAAGAGGAAAAGAAAACGGTATGCTTCAGTGACTTTCTAAGATACAAATACTACTTTCTAATAACTGAATAACTGAAAATTAAACTGAAAAATAATTGAATTTTAAAGAAAGTGCATGATTTCTTGGACTTCTATCCTCTGAGTTCCCCTCTTAGTTTCTTGAGCTGTCATACACTTAGTGCACACACAGAGAACAGCTAATCATAAAATCAGACATACAGTGGCAACTTACCCTACTGATCAAATTTGCATTTAAAAAAAAAAAAGTAAAGCCAAGATAAATAAAAGCAAGCTCCACTCTATAGTTGATTTTTATATCTGCTGTTAAGTACCATGGCCTGCTTTTGCTGAGCAAATAATAAATATGAAATAAAAACCTTACATAATTTAGACGACTGTAGGACTGTTCATCTTTAACAGTGGTGTTCTTTATAACTTCATTATTTTTCTTTGACCTGGTTGAATTAAGAAGTCCATCACCTAGAATTCCGATGGACAAAATCTAAGTAACTGTTTCTCTTCTAGAAATGTCTACATGTCATTTCGCTAAAATAAATAGATACAATGGAAGTGTCTAAAGGAAAAAAAGATAAGTAACTTAACCATAAATTAAAAAACCCTACATCCTAGGAAAAGAAGTATTGAAATTACTGTAGGTAGAAAATATAATCGCATGAAATAATTTTTGCAGTAGTTTTATGCAGTTAAATGTTGAAAGCAAACTAAATATGTCATTAAATTAAGGTAAGCAAAAGCATTTTTCTGTCAAATGAAAAATATTAACAAAACTCTTCCTGTCCAAAACACTTTATTCAGAATCTGTTGGAATGTAGTTTCAGTCTTGCTTTCCTCCTCTCAGATTTCAAGGCAGCCTTCTCCCATTGTTCCTGCTCTTCAGAACAAATTAATAAGAAAAGAAGAAAGGATTCCCTCTGCTGAGAGCCATATATCTTACTATGCACAAGTATGATTTTATAGTAAACTTTTACTGATTTATGTAATGTTTTTAATTGATATTTTAATGTTTGCCAGTTATTACTGGAATACCAAGTAACTGAAAACAGTCTTTATATTAGCCAGCCCTGTAGCTCTGAAATTTAATGTTTAGTTTTATTGAAAGTACTGAAGAAAATTTGGGGGCAGTGTTGTTTTTTGGTTTTTTTTTTTCCTGCATGTGCATTTTCTGTAGAGATGGGCACCTCATTTTTGAGTCTGCATACTCTGTCCAGGCCCTTACTAACAGTTCAATGATCTTAAGTTTTAGGATAAGAAAGTTTATATCTAATCTAGCAAATCACTGTCTTCACTCAGACAAGAATTTAGCTCAGACATGAGCTTGATTCCTACCTAATTCCTAGCTACTATAATGTAATGTAATAATCTATAGCACTTGAATCTCAGGCTACACTTCTGACTTTTTATTGGGAATGTGGGGTTTTTTTCTGTTGGGTTTTTTTTTTCCCCTTCCTTTCTTTTTTTGGTTTGGTTTTTTTTTTGGTTTTTTTTTTTTTTGTTTCTTCCGCAACTGCACGATCTGGGTAAAAATTTTGAAAAATGAATTTGCCATGAAAATGATAATTTGGCAAAATACTTTTTAGTGAAACTTCAGGAAATGTTTTAAGACTTTAGACCTTATTTAAAATGTTGCTTTCCCTAAATGTTAAGAATGTTCAGAGGAACGTCATCTTATTTCTGTCATTGCAGTACGTGGTATAGCTTTGCCTAGATCTCTAGATAGTCCATTATAGATGCTACCATAATAATTTAGATTACACATTTAAAGATTAGATCGTAAAAAACCTTAGGCATTAACAACCTGTGAAGTTACTATTCTGTCTTGAGTCAGTTAATGTAAATTAGACATATAACAAGGAAATACAATGTACTTATGTCTGCTGTATTTTCTTCCTTTGGCATATCAACATTTTATATTCATTATGATCTCTAGGATCCTCCACAACCAAGGGCTCCTTCTCCACCCGTCCCTGCAAGAAGAAATCAGTTGCGTGCATTTGGTAGGTATCATCTTTTTTGCAAGCTCACTTCCTATTACAACAAAATTGTTCTCAGATACAGTTCTCTATCTTGCCTGCAAAGGAACAGTCTTAAAAATTTGCATTTCTGTGTGTTCCCTCTGTCTTAGTATTACCAGTTTATTAGTACAGTGTGTCTGCTATATTAATGTAGAATAAAAATGCATTTATTACGTATCTACATGAGGAAATATTTTTTTGGTAAAAAAACTGATAGTGGAATAATCTGCATGGGTAGTGCTGGTCTTCCAGTCAGGACAGTGGTGGAGGCTGTGTGTAGAATGGGAGACCTGGATTGGCTGGGTTATGGGTTAGACCAACAATGTGAAGAGCACTGCACTCCTAACTCTTAAATTTTACTTTCCTTTATTAACCTGCCTAATCTTCTGCTCATTCCTCTTCGCTTTCAGTGGTGGTTTTAAAATTCACACATACTGGGAGGATCTCCTTTGCTCTTTATATGGTAGTTATCTTGCCAATATGTAGGTGGAAAGCAGTGATTTTTCCTTGTGATTCTTTTTTACAAGTAAGAAAGAAACATCACATGGAATGATGTCTTAAAATGCTGACCCCCTACAGTCAATACCAGGGTCCATCCTGGGGAGTTACATCTCTTCCACTCAGTGGAGGGAAGAGTGGTTCTTAATGAAGCTCTAGGAAATTGATTGACTCAGATCATCTGTCATGACAGAAATATATGAGTTAAATATTATGTTTGGGGATTTAAGCTAGAAAAACATGCTTGCCTTCTAGGTTCTGGACTCAGAAAAAGGCAGTAAAATATCAAATTAGTAAGCATGTTGTTTGGCAAATAAGGGTGCATGGATTTGCTGATTTCAAAATAAGGCTATTTACTGGCAGCACCCAGGTGCTGGTATTTAATTTTCCATTTTTAAATACAGCAAAACATTTCCATTGAAGTTTGCATGCTTTCTGCTGTTCAGAGGACCTGGTCCTTGTGTAGTGTCAAAATACAAGCTCTGACCTAACTTATAGTGTATCAAATGCTGTGATTCTTGTGCTTGTATAATCCTTTTCTAAATTAACAGTTCATTATCTTGCCTTTTTTTTTTCTCCTTAGTTTTCACCTTAATTTATGAGGTAGGCAGAAAAGTGTCTCTGACACTCTTTATTTTTAAATTGTTTGTGTTAAATTCCAGAGGAAAGAAAGAATGTGATAAATGAATTATCAGAGATGAGAAAACAGCTTCATAGCGAAGAGAGGCGGCTGCAGGAACAGTTGCTAAATGCAGCCAGTGATGATGATGTACCAATTAAACAGTAAGAATTTCATCTTCAGTTCTAAAAGTTAGATTTTGCACAGCAGCTCAAGGCTACTGTGCATTAGTAGTTAGTATTAGCTGGCTAATATACATGAATGAAATGGAAATATAAAGGTAGAACTTGGATATGAACTTTTCTTCATTTTTTCTAATGTGTATGTTTATTTTCTGATGAATTTTAGTAAAGTTTAGTGTAAGAATGGTTGCACTGGTAAGATAGGAAGTTCCAATACCCTGTCTTGAAGAGAGGTCCAAAACAGATGTCTAAGGCAGAATTTTATCTCATTGCCTTTTCTCCTAGGGCGTAATTTTTACCTGTAAACTGAAGTACTACTGCTGATGAATATGCTCATGAATAGCATATTGCTGTTAGAAGTGCTTTCTTTTTTATTGAAAATCATACATCTTGTATTTAAAGCATTTGGATAACTTCTAAAATATTTTAGTTAACCATGCCAGTTAGTCGGTAAGGACTTGTCAGATCATCAAGTCGTGTTCCACTCTATAGATAATGAGGGTTTTTTTTATTTTTAAGTTACCTGTTTTTATAATGCAATACGCAGTGTCATTACTTCCAAATTTATTTTCTTGGTTTGATAGCTTTATTTAAAGATAAAACATAGGAGCTTTATCAATATTATATTTCCATTCAACTTATTAATATTACAGAGTTTAATTACATTCTCCTTGGTTTAGAAACTTTTCAAGCGGGAGGAGAGAGAAGAATCAAAAGGACATATTTGAGATGGCCAGGCTTCGTCTGCAGGCTCCAGTAAGGCGACTTTCATCGAAGGAGGCACGAGATCCTGTCAATATACAGAATATCCGGGAATTTAATGAACTTAAACACAAAGGCAGGTAGATCTTCTTGTTATTGAAGAAGAAAGGTAGTGAAACATCCTCTTGCATGCAACCCAGGGTTTAAAGACACAAATAAAAGTCAGGCTTTTCACAGCTACTGCCCATACTCAACATACTTTGTGGACAGCATTTTTCTATCTGTATATATCTCTCTGTGTGGCTGTTTCTACAATTGGACACAATTCATGGCAATGTGATGCTGAGTTATCACTCGGAGTACTCACCTAGCTTCTAGTCATTCCTTCTTAAATTTCTTAAGCTGCTTATGCATTTCTTAAGGCTCTTAATTCTTTTGGTACTATGATGTTACTGAATTAGATTTATGGGGGTTTTTTACCCAGCAACAGATTATGATTCTGTGTAACTTTCTGTTCCTCCTTTACCAGAAAATCATTACTAAAGTGGCTCATCCTCTTGGCCAATGTCACCATTATTTTTGATGGTTTTTTATTATGTTCTGTCTCTAGCTCTTTAAAAATGTTCTTCAGAAATGCTGGCTTAGGGAAAAATTTAAATTTCTCTTCTTTGCTCTAGATTCTGAAACACGTATGGCCTTGAGGCACATGTATCCTGATCCTCCAAAAGATGACCAGACTCTAGAGATTCAACAGCAGGCACTGTTGAGGGAGCAGCAGAAGAAACTTGACAGAATGAGAACAAGGAGAGAAACAGAATGTAAGGAATGGATGATCTGAGATAATGATTTTTGTTTACTTGTTTTGTATTTGATAAGAATTAAAAAACACCAGCTCTACTTCTTTCAAGTTCAGTATCAGCACTGCAGTACAAAACAGTAAAACACTGCAATGCTGAAATTCTGTCATAATGTAAAGCATAAAAAAATGGAATGCTGTTTTTTGTTTGTTTTGTCTTGTTTTGTTTTTTAATTACTGTGGCTGTTTCTCTTTGGTTCCCTGAAAGTAATTTAACTAGCACTTAAAAATAGCATGTGTTTCTTCAATCTTTCAAAAAGTTACAGTTGCACCTGTCCTAATGAACTCAGTTTTGCAGGACACAGATTCCTCAGAAAAGTGTTTGTCTCTCTAATTCAGACTGACATAACTAAGTTTCTGAAGAGAAAGTAACTTCATTCTGTGCTGGTTTAGCTTTGGCTAAACCAAGCTCCCACCCAGCTGCTCCCTTGCCCATATCCCCTCATTCGTGCCCCTCGGTGATACAGTGGGGGAAACAGGAAGAATAAAGTTCATTGGCCAAGGTACAGACAGGGAGGTTGCTTACTCTTTGCTGTTGCAGGCAAACCAGTCTCGACTGGGGGGAAAATTAACCTAATTATGATAAAATTAATAAATATTTAATTAATGATTTTGAGTAGCACGAAACAAAAAGACAAAAATCAGACCCACACCTTTTCTGCCCCCTTCCTCATGCCCAGCTTCTCTCTTTCACTCCTAATGCCCCTGCTCCCCTTTCTTGGTACCACCCCAGGTTGTGCTCAGTTCCTTTGATGCAGTGGGTGGTGTCAGGCCATCAGGAGTGGGTAATTGCAGTCAGTACACAGCACTTTCTCTCTGCTCCTGTCTTCTTGCTCCTTTCTGGCTGCTCTGCCATGGTCTCCTCCAGGGGCTCACAGGGAATCTATGCTCCAGCGCCTGGAGCATCTCTTCCCCCTCCTTCTGCACTGACCCTGATGTCTGTTGGGCTGCTTCTCACACATTTGTCCTTACTCCTCACTGCCATGCTTTGTTTTTTCCGTTTCTTAAATGTATTTTCACAGAGGGACAAGAAGCTTGACTGATCGGCTCAGCCATGTCCTGCAGTGGGTCTGTTGTGGTACCCAGTGTGACCAGCATGGGGCAGCCCCTGGTATTTTCCTGCAGCCCTCCCCTTGCCACAGACAGCCAGTACAGTTTCAGGTTGCTCTAGACTTTTTTTAGCCTTAGAGATGAGGCGAAAGTTTGACATAAAAATACCCAAGCACGTGTGAAAGGAAACATAGTTACACCTTCCCATACAGCTTTAGAAAACTGCATGCCTCTTCTTTATCACTGGTCATGCTTGGAGGCTTGTTTGCATTACCTGTTAATAGACCCATATGTGAGTAAGATTAACAAAATTGATACCACCATGTGAAGGGTGACAAGTTACTTGCAGGATGTTTGGTTTAGTACTCTGTTGAGTGTAACCCTATTCCGTCTTGGACAAACGTGTTGGTATTCAGACCATGTGTGCAATATTGCTTACAGATAACAGCATTGCAGTTGCAAATAAGTGTATCTGTACCATTTGGTCTGTTAACTGCAAGCTCTGGAATATCCTTGGATGTCTAAATGAGTGTGTAGGATCATGTTCTCTCTTCCCTTTTTGGATTAACTGAAATGGTGAAAAACAGTTCACTAGATTCAGCTGAATTCTGGGGTTCAGTTTTGGTTTTCTACCATTAGAGTATTTTTCAACAGGCCATTTTGAGAAGGTTTAATTTAATGTTGTCTGGAGCAGAACTTCCACCATCTAGAAAGCAAATTTTCCTTTTTCATTGGTTTTAAGGATAAGAAATCATTTTAGACGTATGCTGAATTAATAATGCAGGCTTACATGGTGACAACCTGAAGAGGCATTTCCTGGAACAGTTTAGATTAGCTGGTAGACAAGCAGCTGATTTTAAAAAAGATTTTCCACTGACACTTATAGAGGATCCTTGAGCAGTTTTTCCTCTCTTACTGCTTTATAACATCATTTAACTTTATGGACTGTCACTGTGTACTGAGCAAGAGAATTAATTAGTTGCTATGTATGTCTCTATTTCAAGTTTATTTTCCTTGGAGACAAGTTCACCATCTTCCTCCCAGTGGAAATAGATGAGTAGTTTTATTGTCTGATTTAAGGGAGAAAGAAAGATGAATTAAAGCAGTATGTATTTTTGTACTGTAGGTGAAATATAGTATTATAGCCTGTAATGGCAAAGGCTTACCTTTTCTCCCAAACTATATGTAAGTGTTCTTTACCTTGTATACTTTATAAACTGTTTTCCCTCTGATACATTTTTTTTCTTCCTTTTTCTTTTCTCATTATGTAAAGAAGTATGTGGACTGTTAGTGGAGAAACGACCTGAGAAACTAATGATTTTTTAAATGTTCCAGTTTTTTTAAATGCTTGCTTTGTCCTTATAAATAAGGCAGTTATTTTGGAGACTTCTGGATTATTCTTATTTTGGGGGAAAGGCAGAGGAGCAGGTCTGATACTGTTGCACTGCAATGCTGGGCTGTGCTTGACACTGCTTAAGTAGCATATCAGGAATGGGCTGGTTGTCAGTTCAGGAGGAGTGACAGACAGCCTGTGTGCTGTGGTGTTTGATGTCAGACAGAGGGTCAGCTACACAATGAGTAGGTTTGCTAGACAGAGATGGAAGAAATAAAAACTATCTTACTAAGTATTTTATTTCAACACTTAAACCAAATAAGAAGAGTAACTTCAGTTTCGGTTCCTTATATATCCAGTGTGCAAGGGATCATTGTTATATTAACTTTCAGGATAGTTTGGTCTGCTCTCCAGACTTGAGTTTTTTATCCTTAGCAAGTACTTTTCCCTGTGGAATGCTCGCCTGCTAGTTCAAGCTCTCTTTCAAAGCTGCAAACACCGTGTGCTCAGCATGTTGAGCATAAAATCACTCCTGGGGCTTTCTGCAGTCTCCTGCTCTGATTATTTCACCCTAGCAGAAGCCAAGGGAACTGATTTCACCGAACAGTTTATTGTGACACAGCATCCTTCTTGCTAGTCAAATTGCTTGTGGAGATGTCCCACCCATGGGAGAACATCATTAGTCTTGAGTTCCGTTGATGTAAATACAACTGTTTATCTATAAAAACATGCCTATTCCTGGCAAGCAGATGTCTAGAATATAGAATAATTTTTTTTTTTTGAGTGTCCATGAGTTCTAAGTACAAAACTGTTGTAAGGTTTAGCTTCAGTACATATAAATGAGACTCCTGACTCACTCAGTCTAGCTTTTGATTAGACCAGTAAAAGTAACAACAGAACCCAAAGTGAAGTCAGAAAATACATGGCTCAGGTGATCCCTAATTATGGAAAAATAAATTCATTTTTGGCTCTCTAATTTTGAAATTTGATACAGTATTGGTTTGGTTTTCTACTTACAAATAAGAACGATTTCTCTCCATTATTGTTGGGTTTTTTTGTGTGTCTTGGCTATAAAGTTCAGGTGGAGTTTAAAGTGTTACAGTTTAGCACTAGCAACCACTGGGATGCTGAATAGCCGTAACTTCCGCTTTTTTAAAAAACATTCAATTCACATATGTTTTTAATGTAATAAAAAATGTAACATATAAAATTTCATATGTGAAGATGATGGCAAGAAAACCAAAACACTTACGCCAGGGAAGAGAGGGTGATCTTTATTATAGTAAGAAGGACATTGATTTTGAGTTCTTGGGTACACTTTGGAAAATGGGTTTCTGTTTAAATGTTTTTTCATCTGAAGTTACTTAACCTGGTGTGTTTTCTCAGTACCATGTTCCAGTTTAGGATGAAAAAACATTTCTTGTTGACATTTCTTGAGACTGGGTGGTGTTTAAGATGCAGCAATTCAACTAATAAAGATCTTAAAGTATCAACAAACAAAATATAAGAGAGTAAAAGAGAGAAACCGAGCATTCATGCAGCAACCTTTTGTGCCCTGATGTGTTGCTTTGATGGCTTAAACCATGCTGCCTTCCCAGAAGCTAATGTTTTTTACATTACTCAGTCAACACTTGGACATGACCTTTCGATAACAAGTGTTGACAGTGTTGTTGTAAACACAGCAAAATTAGTTCTGACTGTTGCAGTATAGGCAGCTTTTTTAGAATTCAGCACAACTTAGTGCAATTTTAGCATTTAGTGAAGTGTGATTATATCTTCTTACAAAAATCTGGTTTTCAATAGCCACAAAACCAGTTATGCTTCCTTTTTCTGGATAACAAGTCAGTTTGTGAACAAGTTGGGAAACAGCTGATTTTTTGTTAGTGATAAACAGTATAGTTCTACTGTGAAAAGTGTGTTTGCTTTTTGGGAGCGACTGATGAATCCAGCCTTAAGAAGAGCTTGCACATGCTCAGTGTTCTTAGAAACAATATACTACTGAGTTCTGTTTGATTTCTGTGATTCTACATAAATTAACATAAGGAAACTGGAATAAACATTGCATTCAAAGTGTTTTAAAGATATTCATTGCAATATATGTAATTTTAAAGAAGTAATGCGTAATGATCTTCATTTTTGTAATCATATGCTGATAAAACTTGTAATATGCTTTTAATATGTCTATCATTTTGTCCCTTGTCTATGTGCCTTTTGTTGATCAAGATGATTCTGCTTCTGGTGGTAACCCACAAACCATGAGACTGGTAAGAATAAACAGCTTTTTATTTCATTAGTTTGTCTTTTTGAAGTGTGAGAAACATTGTGTCTTTCACAGATTTAGTGAAAGGAACTACACTTAAATAAAAAGACAGCAAGCTTATTTACTTCTCTTGCTTGTCAATACAATGAGTAACAGCTTCTTTAAACTTGACATACAAGTTGTTTGTCTTTGTATATAGAGATAGTCTGATTCTTTAACTCCCTTCTTTTTATATTCACTGGTACTTATTTTATATTCATACGATGTTAGATTGCTGCTTGGCATGGGAATTAATAGAAAAAGCCAACCCAGAAGCAGTTGCTCTGTATTCAGGTGGCTTAAATAATGCACATCGTCAATAATTATTTGTTGTCTCAAATGGGATTTTTATTTTCTGACTTGGTGAGAAGAGCTAAAGAAAGTGCTGTCAAATTGGAATTCCACACTAACCTGAACTGCAAAATAACACAGTTCAGTTGGGTCTTATGGGAATGTGAAACCATACAAAATGGAAGACTCCGCAAGAGGAGAGCCATCAGCCTCAAGGATAATACTAACTCCACACAGGAATTCAACATTTTCTTATTTAAAAAAAAAAATAAAAATCACCTGAATGTATTTAATAATTGTAATCTATTGCATGAAATTCTTCTTCAGAGCAGTGCTTTCAGTAAGGAATTTGTTTTCTCTTGTTCTGTTTTCCTCTGATAGTTTCTACTGCTTTGATATTAGAGTGGTTTTCTAAATAAATTATTCCATAGTAGAATTTCTATAACAAATGGTTGCAACTATGCAGTGACCTAGAAGTATTACTCTTAGTGCTTGTTATTACTGCAAAGAAATTTGTTGTTTTAATGCTTTGATATTAAAGATTGCATGTGGTGGGCTAAGTGAAACATACAGAATCATTCTTCGTTTGATCGATGCATCATACAAACCTTAGATGCAAAGCTCACTTCTAGTGCTGACTGTTCTGAAACTCAAGCAGAGTGATGAGGATGTGTTTCTTGATGGAAATCTTCGTGTTACACAAATCACCACTATAGTTGCCATGTGTAAGCACATTCAGCAAATGGGATTATTACAGAAACTAAAAATCCCTAATGCTTAAAGAGAACATGAGTTATTTAAAAATGTGTAGGTATCTTATAGCCATAAAGTAAGGAATAGTACAGAAGACTGTAGAGCTGGTGTTGGCTTTGCAAAAGTTTGGCAATTAATTTCCATATTAATTATAATTCAGCCCCAGAAATATACTGAGGCATCTGAATTTGCATGTCCTCTGTTTCACTTTTGTAGTTCAGGAATGAATCTGATGGATTCTTGAAAAATTCACTGTTGGAGTCGGATAGTGCTTTTATTGGTGAGTTCATATTTCCCCTTAACCATGTTATGAGTGTACAAACATGTCCTTTAATGACCTGTCTCTGAAATAATCATTACTGTTTTAAAAGTTGCAGGGCATGTAGCTATGGTGATTGTTTTGAAGTATTAGAAAATTATGCCTCTAAATTAAAATGCAGGTCCTTATGGAATTGTGCTGCAATAAATTTGTGTAGGTCACACCTAAAATTAATGATGCTGCTCACTTGCTTTATACTGCTTCACATCTTTTAGTGAGAAAGCATCTTTACATGCTTCTTGGGCTTTGACTGGGATATTAGTCTTCTCAAGGAGCTTTTTCAACATCTTCCCACCTTTGCGTGAGGAAAAGCTAATATTTGTTCAGCAAACGTGTATCAGTGGTTACAGTGGTAGAATATGCAATGCTGTCTTATTATTCTGCAGCAAAGAAAGTAATTTATTAGCAATCAGAGTTTACAGTTATGAGCTGTCCATAGTGAAATATGAAAGTGCTGGGCAGCCAGTGATTCTTTTCATCTTTATTCTTTTGTTCTACAAGCATGCTCAATTTTAAGTTTGATTATATGGGCATAAAAGTGATTCATTCTAATCATCTGAAGTAGATGATGTTTAGTTTTCTTAAGATTTTTGAATAGAGGAATGTGTCTCACATTTTCTTAGGTCTCTTTATTCAACCTTTATATGCATGTATGTGGAAGTGCTGTTTCCAGTCACTAGAAATAATAAAGCTAGAACTTACCTTCTCTTTAAAAAAAAACCCCAACCAACCAGTTCAGGCCTCCATGAGTTATTTTGCTTTAGTGGGCATTGAAATTCTCTTCAATCATCTATGGGAAATCATCTTACAAGGTTTTATTCTTTGCTGTAGGGGAGATGCAGTAGATTTCTGCAAGTGCTTTTTAATGAAACTAGATAAGTTTCTATGTACCAATGATAGTTATCTCTGACTTTGGTTTAAAAGCAGAATGTTTCATTTGAAGTGTATTCCATCTTACTCTGTTAAAATGCAGGTCCTTGAGTATAGGATGAGTCTGGGCACTGGGAAGGGTACAGGATAGGTCATTAAGGCTTGTTCAGTGCATTTGGTACTCTCTGTAGTCTGCAGTGCATTCTTCTTGAGGTTAAGAAGTCCTGTGGGTTAGTTACAGCCCAAATGATGAAAGGATGCTTTAGGAGAGTCTCTCAGGCTAGAATGTGGCCAAATATCCTGCATCTAACAGGATAGAATAGGCACAATTGCCAGAATAGGCACATGGTGAGAATATAAGGTGGTTGGCAGACACGTGGCAACACTGCACAGTACTCTCCCAGCCTTCAGTGACTTGTAGCTCAGGGGCTTGCTGGGTCAAATGCTGTGTGTTTGCATTTAGTAGGTCTTGTTACGATGTGTCTTTAATAGGTTGCCTTTCATGAATTGGAATTGGCACTGAATCCCTCCAGTTGTTTACCATCAGTGGGTTTGTGTGGATAAGTTTCTGCACTATGCTATCTGTGAACTCTCTCATCTGCTCTGAACCCACCACCTATGCAATGGGACGCTCCTTGGTTTTATGCACCGCTTTCACAAGGTTCATGATATTTATAATCCTCTCTCCTGTTCCCTTCTTATGCCCATCCAGCTAATTCTTGCAATTTCGTGTGGTGGTGGAGTTAACTTACGATACTATTCATCCACCCCTTTTTTTTCCCTCTTTTTCCCCAGATCGTTTATGACTGTGGTGAAAAACGTATTCCCCAGTACTGAGCTGTAGGCACTACCTAAAACACTGTCACCCTTTGCATTGTTTGAGCTTTATAAATAGCTATTAAAATTCTGATCATATGACTTCCATCCCTGAAAAGAAAAAAGAAAACTCTCATTTATCTGTGGGCTGCCTTCTCTGTGAATTGTGCTGCTCACATTGTCTGAGGGTCTTTTGTGAAGTGCTTATGGTGTATTTTAGTAATGTTTTAATTTCATAAGAAGAGACACTGCCCTCTGTGGTTGTTTTTTTTGGTTATTTGGGTTTTTTTTGGGGGGCATGGTTTTAAAATCTAACTCAATTTTGTAATAGATGCCTGCATTACGGATAAATTTGTCTTTATCTCCTAGGGCTCAGAAATTCGAAGCAGTTATGAGTAAAGAGGTTTATCAATTTCTTTTCCCTTTTATTTGCCTCACTCGAAACCCTAGAATTTGTTAGTGTTAATGCAGTGATTTGAAGGCCCATCTGTGTAGCAGTATCTGAATGATAGATGCTTAAAGGAACAAGTAGCATCTCTCACTGATAAAACACTGAAGGTACAAATAAATTCTTCTTTAGCTTGTACTTTGATTCTGTTGGGATAAATTCACATGATTTAACAATTTTTTGTGTTCTTTTGGAATATAATGAAGCTTAACTGATCTTGTAACTAAAATTCTGCTAAGGGGGTTGTTAGCCATATACCATTTCAAAATTATGCTTTGATTTGTTTTTACTTGAGCCATTTGTGATGAGAGCATCAATACCTGTGGTGAAACTGGGGGAGGGAAAAGAGGAGAGGGGAATAAAATTTTTATTTCTAGGGAAAACCCAACTGGTAACATGAAAGGATTTTTTGAAATATCTGTCTTTGTGTCTGAACTTTGTGTCTGAACGATCCAAAGTATTTCAATTTTCAACACAAATAATTGCTACTTTAAAAATTTAATTTGAAGATCTTTGAAACTTGTGAGTGATATAAAATATTTCATGAGAATATATTTTCAAATTGCTAGGAAGTGAAAAAACCCATTCTTTCCACAGTTGTGGTTTATTTTTAATGTCGCAGTATGTCTTTTCAGGCAAATGCTGCTCAGTACTCTGTGTGTGTGTGTATGTATATATATTTACACACATTTATCTTTTTTTAAACTTAATGTATCATACTAGACAAAGAGCCCTTCCAAAATGTGACGTTGTCATCAAAAAGTAGGTGGTGGTAATGGATTCTGTACTGGTTTTGTTAGGCAGAGTCCTTTCTCTGGGAGGCTCTGTTCTTGGAGGTACTAGAGACACTGAACTAGAAAACAGAGCCTGCTGCTGCACCAAGCAGGGGCAAAGCCATAAACCAGCCCCAAGCAATGGTTACTGGTCCTGGAAGGAAAGAAAGTATCTGTTTGAAACAGTTTCTATTTGAAGTAGTTGTCAGAATCTGCGAAGGAAGGGGAAATAGACAAAAGAAGTGTGAAGCAGAGATGTCACCTTAGGGTTCATTTATATTATTAAAAATAGATGAAACTCCCCCACTGTAATGTGGTACAGGGATGATAAAAAATTGATTTAGTTACTTATTTTTATATGAACAGATTCTAACACTTATTACATGAAAATACTAAGATATGACTAAGGATATGTGTGATTAAGGCACCAATTATGTTATCATAATACATCCATGTATTTGCATACATGATTTATTGTATGACTGTATGCTTTTATGCCTTCCATTTGCCCAGTGTTCTCTCGTTCAAGCAGAAACACTATATTCATCTGAATACTCACCTTGTTTAAAGGTCTAGGTATAAAGAAGGTATGGTGAAGTGAAGTGGGTGGTGGATCTGCAGGAAGTGAAATGCTTTATCCTCTACATGTGAGAGATCTCAATATATCGCTCAAGATATTTCTTGAAGTTCATCCCTTGCTGCTGTTGTGGTACCTTGTTCTTTTGCCTGCATCTGGGTTATCACTGGCTTTATGCAAGATGTCCTAAAGAATAAATTCCTTTGATTCTGGTGATTAAATGAAGTACAATATATTGGCTCATTTCAAAACATAAGCAGGTTTGAACACTGTCTAGTATTTTGATTGCTTTGAAAATGATTTCACCTGTTTTTACAGGTGCTAATGGGGAAACATTTCCAGCCTTAGACGAGGTTAATTCATCACCACAGCTTCGACCTTCTGCAAGGGAGAGGAGACGAATGAAGCAGAAAGCTTCAGAGTGTGCTGTATGTATGGTAACTGGATTCGCCTAAATGCGAAGGTGGACCACAGATCTTACGTCAGACAGTTTCTGTGGTTCTTTAGTGGCTGGGTGATATGGATGCATCCATCAATACGGATGATATGAGTGTACATGTATAGCTGTTTGCCCTTTTAAAAAGGATGCTATTTAACTTGATGTGTGTGTTTTGGGATTTTCTGCAGGAGGATGTTCCACGGGGCCAGACACCATTGCTGCAGCCTGACAGCTCTTCTTTGCACTCAAACTTCAGCCTTGATATTGATCATTTGAAAGGCAAGAATGAAGAACGACTGCACAGACTGACTGAGCTCCAGCAGGAATCTGCTTGCTTAGGTATGCCCTGTGCGGTAGAGATGAAGCAGTGAATACTAAGTAATGACAATAATTACAGGAACAATTCTTAAGAAACTGCCTGTAGTTGAAGCAACTGGCTCAAACAGGAATTATTTATAGAGCTCTGTAGCTGGTACACGAGGTTCCCTAGCAAACTTCAAAACAACTTCTAGAATAAGTTTAGAGGAGGGTAGTAGGAAAAGGTGCTCTCATTCCTGCCTGATCAGCCACTCGTACTTGTCCTGTCTGTACCACTTTTAGTACTGTGATGTGTCACTGCTAGCAGTAAGATGTAGCTCTCCAGCTGTGTAACTGAAATGATGATAGTGGAAAGACATGAAACTGCAGATTAATGAATGTTGATGGGATGCCTGTGTGAGTTTATTGGCATTCCTAGGAATCAGATGTCTGTGGTCCAAACAGCGTTGAAGATATGTCAAAAATCGTGTATAACAATTACTTCAATTTCTAGTTAATTTGTATTTTCTGTTTGTTAGTTAACATAAATGGTCATTGGGTATTTGAGGTTGGTATTGGTACCTCTTTCACGATACCTGCTCTTGAATTTATTACGTATGTCTTGTGACCATATAAACATTAAACTTGGGAAGTTCTCAGAGCTTCTCCATCAGCTGGCTGCCTGATGTAGATCCACTTTGGGTATGAGGTACCAATTATGGCAACCATTAATGGCCTGCAGTTTTTCACATGGATTATGAGCCCATTGATAAGCTTTGTGCTCATGAGTCTTTCGCAGTGATTTAGTGAGTCTGAAATCTCCCCCTTTTTTTAGGAGGTGGTTGCTATGCTGTCTAGGCAATTACAGTATCAGTATCCTTTTTATAAACTTAATGGGAGTACAGATGCTGACAGTGTTTCTGATTCTGTTGCCATGGGTACTCTTACAAGCACTTCATCCTTTTTTGTATGTTTTAACCATCTCACTGTGATTTTTAAGTCACTGAAAACCCCCATTCATATTCATTTCTTTTATAATCTAAACAAATGTTTGGGTGGTGTGAAATTAGTAAAGCATTTTTGCTATGTGGTGATCTTCTCCATCCTTATTCCATCTCACCTCTTTTTTAATTTCACCTCACAGTGTTTGAACTACACTTTTTATTTTGCTTGCCTTCTGTTTTTTGTGGTCCCCAGAGCTTCAACCTTTAGAGAGATAGATAGATATAGATATATATAGAGAGATATATATATATATAGTTTTTGTGCGTGTATGTGTATATATAGATATTTATATGTCTCTATGTAGCTGGTTCTTTGGAACACATGGGGACCATCACTCATCCTTAGCATATGTGCCTTTTGGAAATGTAGCAGGAGATTCTTTTGCTCAGCTGTGGTTGTCAGGGCTGCACTGCTGCCTGCCTCCTGTTCCCTCCTCACACTTGGTGACATTACAGAACAAATGAATGAAGCCCAATGGGTTTATTCCTTTTCCCTAGCAATTTGATAGAACCCTTGTGGCATCCTCTTGCTTTCCTAACAGCTAGGACTGTTATTTCTCCTCTGTCATCAGAGTCACTGCCAGGAGAAGAAAACTCTGTCAGATACATAGCTAAGGAGCTCTGGTTATGTTCCTTTTAAAGGAGTGGGATAAGGCAATTGATGGGCTTTGGTGAATTTAAAGAGCTGATCCTGTTGGCACAGCAGGGAGACTCTGTTCACAGTGGTTCACTTTCCCTTATGGGACTGATGTGGGAATCCTAAAGCCACCCAGAACTGTTTTCTTACTTGGAAAACTAGTACATACTGGAGCCAGGCCTCCTCCTCTGTTTTCACCCATCCAAAAAAAAACCCCTTTTCCATCAGTGTAGACTTGGTGAGTGTTTGGGTGATGACATCTCTGCAAGCCAGCAGCTACTTTCTTCAGTGGGCAATGTGTGCATATTCCTCAGTGCATAAACAAGAGCAGACGGCTGCAGAAGAGGGACCTCTCACAGCTTTGAGCACATTAGGTATGTGGCTGAGACCCCACTGTATGTAAGAGAAGTTGCCTAAATTCCTTGAGACTTCTTAGGCATTCCTCTGTGTCTCTAAGTGAAAGAATGCTGGAGCGCAGGTGATCTGCAGCGGGGCAGCAGGACTGATTCCTGGTGAGTGCAGGCTGACAGAAGACAAACATCAGTGTCCACTCCAGGGCGCTGAAGGAGTTTGCTCTCATCTAGAGGCAGGGTGAGCTGCTGTCAGTGTTTAGTGGGAATCCAGACATCACTTGATTTCCAAATCAGTATTTCATGTGAAGAAAAGAGCTCTACTTATCCTCAGCCTCCAGGTACAAACTGTGAATTATCAAGTGGCAACTCTGAAGCAAACTCTATATATGTAGCCAAATTAAGAACAGGTTTTTTTATGGAGTGTGCAAAGTGTTGAAATTTGTGATGAAGCAAGTTTTGTACTGCAGCTGATCTGCTGTGCTGTCTGAAAGCAGCACCAAGTGGGTCTGCTCTAGTGATGTGCACAATGACCCGATCTCATCTCTGACAGAACAGTTGTTCTTACCTCTTGACGGCTGGAAGATCTAATGGCTTTGTCTTTGAAGGCTGTAATAGTTAAATGCAGGGAAATGCAGCCTTCTGCACTGAAAGTCCACAGTTTGTCTCAAAACAAATACCTTATTTTTACTGTTTATAAATACAATCTCTTAAGTAGCAAAGAGAAAATTAACTTTCTTTAGGTATTATTTTTCCTGCTGTGTGCTGTTGTTAACACCCCCCCACGCAGCTTATGTACGTAACACCTGCAGGTTCCAACCGGCTGGAGAGTTGATCTGACCCAGGATTTAGGCAGGAAAGAGGTTCACTCTGCCAGCTTTAAACCCAGCGTCAAGCAATGGAGGTGACAGGCCCTACAGAGAGAGAGCTGTATTTGCACTTTTAATGTTTGCTTTTAACTGAGAAGGCTTGGAGGATGATCAGATCGCTGTCTGTGTGAAGTGACAGAACTCGGGGATTCACTGCCAAGTTCTTTCTGAACAGAAAGTATTTGGCATTTTGGTTTAGAACCTGCATCCCTTGGGCACTATGAGGAAAACTGAGCCTTTGCTCCCAGCGCATGTGGGGTTGTGCAGTTTCTGTCCTTCCCTTGTTGTCTACACACCTGGCTGCTGCTCCTGCAGGACTTGGGCTCTCCCACCCATGGTTGGACCATCAACTTTCCTGTTTTAGTGAGAAGCTTCAGAGAAACTGGTTTAAAATCAGATTTTAAAAAGTCTTCATTTTTTTTCCAGAATGAAAACCTGAGATGTGGAAAAATCACCCAAATACTTAAATTACACAACACAAATGGCTTAAGTGAAGCATTTCAGCACTAGAGTATACACAGTTCAGTTACATTTTACTGGAATTATTATGTTTCTGCAAAAATTTTGTGTGTGTTTTCCTAATCCAGAGACTTCAAACTTTTTTTGCGTATCTTAAAAAAATTCCCAGCAAACCAGAACCTCCTTGTTTACATGGCGCAGCTTTAAAGAGGAAAGCTGCAATTTTCAGTTGTTCTAGGTGTGGAGGTTTTCCATCGTTTTTTGGCTTGTATATGTAAAAATTAAGTGTCATGAATCCAAAGAATGAACAGCACAATTTATATTTATACATATAGTATCAAGTTATGTTGTTTGATAATCCATATTAAAAACTGTCTGAGGTATTAGGTGTGTGTGATTGCTGTCAGATTTGAACCAAGTAGTAGTAGAGTTCAGAGTGACAGTGACCCCAGGTTCAAAGGCAAGGCTGCTCTGCTGTTTTGGGTTTTCCGGGGTTTTTTTTGGTGTGGTTTGTTTTGTAGCTGGAAGATGATGACTTATCCCACATGTGAATGACGTTGCATTAAGGCCATTAGTTATGCTGGACTGTGGTGTACAGACTTGCTTGCCTTTGAGCTGTTTACCAGTGTTAAAATATTTCTCCTCAAGTTCTCTCCTGAGTAAGAGAGTGTCTGTACCGGGTTCTTTAGCCGTAGCACTGCAATTAATGACCTTATTTTTATATGCATTTCCTGTGGATATATGCACTGACACATTTGGCTTCTCCCTGTAATAGGAGGCTTTGGGAAAGCAAGAACCTTTTGCCAAATCTCCCTGCCCATGGCAGGGGGGTTGGAAGTAGATGATCTTTAAGGTCCCTTCCAACCCAAACCATTCTGTGATTCTATGAAACCCAGCCAGGTTTGCCCTCTGATTGATGCGGCAGGGAGAGGAGCTGTTGACATCAAAGATGTGGAGTCTTTAGTGTTGACTCTAGATGGGCCCAGTTCCCCAAAACACCAGCAATGTGTGTCAAGGTGCAGTGAATGTGATTTAAAAGCATTATTTATGCGTTCGTAGCAGAGAGATAAGCCTGTTCAGTATTACAGAATGTTGTGGCAAGCTTTCGTCCCCTTTAACACGTGTGTGTTGCTCCCCTCCTGCCTCAGGTGGTGATAACCTTTCCCTGGGGGAAGCAGAGGACTTGCTGAAGCCTGGTCCGTCCAGCGCCGGCAGGAGGCCTAGTTCTGTTGACACAGTTGCAACAGAGCCCTGGCTGCGACCCGGAACTTCAGAGACGCTCCAGAGGCTCATGGCAGACGAGTCGAGCCCAGCAAAGCTTTCACCTGAGGCTGCGCT